TTCTTGAAATAAGCAGCATTTGACAAATGTTGAGGTCTATTTCAGCAAATATGGAGATACCTCTGCCTTAATAGTGACATGATGAGATCGAAAAATAGATATGGTGCTAGTAAAATCTATTGGTTGGATGCTCCATTACGGGTGGCGTAAGCGTAAGCGGTAAGCGTATTGAACAATTTCCGTTTCCGGTGTTAGCGGTGTTTGTGTTGTGTTAGCGGCGTTTGTGTGGTGGTAGCGCTTTTTCTCTGCTCTTGCTAACAACCATATAACATAACTAAATTTCAGTAAGTTTGCCTTAGCACTAATAGGTCTTTCCATCTTGAGTGACTGCTGTTCTGTCTTATAACGGATGTAATAAAAGTTCCGGTGGCCAACCCTACCGTACTTTTGTTTAGCCGTTAGCGACTTTAACAGCTAGCAATGGCTTCTCCCTCTTGCTCTCCTGCTTCTCTCTGTCTGATGTTTAGTTACTCCTCTGCCTCCTTTAACGGTAGTGGTATGTGTAACGAGTGTGGTTTATTTCTAGACATGGAGGCGAGGCTCAGTGCGTTAGAAGCTCGGCTCCGCACCGTAGTAAAGCAGCCCTTAGCTAGGCTAGCTAAGTGTAGCCAGTCCCAGGTAGTCGGTGCGGACCGACCGGAGTTAGCTGATTTGTCTTACTGAAACCTGGCTGGGTGATGGAGAATATGTGAGCCTAAATGAATCCAACCCCTCCCAGTCATAGGAATATTCACATTCCTCGAAGCACAGGTCGAGGAGGTGGAGTTGCAGCAATCTTTGACTCCAGTCTTGTAATCAGCTCTAAAGCTAAATTGAACTATAACTCTTTTGAAAGCCTTGTTCTGAGTCTTTCCCACCCAAGCTGGAAATCACTGCAACCTATTCTATTTATTATAGTGTACCGACCACCCGGTCCATACTCTGAATGCTTATCTCAATTGGCAGAGTTTTTGTCAACTTTAGTCCTTAAAACGGACAAAGTCATTATCGTAGGGGACTTTAATATCCATGTGGATGTTGAGAATGACACCCTTAGTACTGCATTTATATCTCTGTTAGATTCCATTGGCTTCTCTCAGAGTGTTCACGAACCGACTCACTGTTTTAACCACACCCTTGACCTTGCTCTGGTCTATGGTATTGAAATTGAACATTTAATAGTGTTCCCACATAATCCATCTTTATCTGACCACTGTTTGCTAACTTTTGAGCTTTTACTGCTGAATTACCCTCCACTGGGTCAAAATGTCTACTCAAGATGCCTGTCTGATAGTGCTATAGCTAAATTTAAGGATGTGATTCCATCAGCTCTACATCCATTATCAAGTCGCACAGAAACAGAGGACTCTTATGTTAATTTCAGTCCTTCCCAAGTTGATCATCTTGTTGATAGTGTTGAAGGCTTGCTGCGAACAGCACTCAACGCTGTAGCCCCCCTAAAAAAGAAAATACTTTAAAAAAAGATGGTTAGCTCCATGGTACACTACTGAAACCCGCAAATTAAAGCAGGTATCTCGGAAACTTGAGAAGAACTGGCGTTCAACCAAGCTGGAAAAGTCTCGTTTATCTTGGCAAGATAGTCTTAAAGCTTATAGGAAGGCCCTCCGTGATGCCAAAGCAGCATATTACTCGTCTTTAATTGAGGAAAATAGGAACAATCCCAGGTTTCTTTTCAGCACTGTTGCTAGGCTGAGTGAGAGCCACAGCTCTATTGAATCAAGTACTCCAATAGCTCTCACTAGCCATGGCCTCATGAGCTTTTTTAACGATGAAATTCCATCTATTAGAAACTAAATCCACCAAGACTTGCCCTCAACTGGCATCGACTTATCTTTAAACTCAGTAACTGTTGGACCAGAACCAGTTATACGTTTTGACTGTTTTGCTTCCCTCAATCTTTGCAACTAACTTCAATAATTTCTTCATCCAAACCTTCAACTTGCCTCTTGGACCCCATCCCGACTAGGTTGCTTAAAGAAGTCTTAGTCGGTACCTCTTTGCTAGACGTGATCAATCTGTCCTTATTAACAGGCTATGTGCCACAGTACTTTAAAGTAGCTGTAATTAAACCTCTTTTGAAAAAGCCTAACTTGGATCCAGGTGTATTAGCCAACTATAGACCTACAGTGGGGGAAATAAGTATTTGACCCCTTGCTGATTTTGCAGGTTTGCCCACTTACAAAGAATGCAACCATCTAACATTTTAATCATATGTACATTCTAACAGTGAAAGACAGAATCCCAAAGAAAATTCCAGAAATTCACATCAGATGAATTTATAAAAATTGATAACCATCTGATCCTCATCAGAGTATGAATGGACAACGACCAGCTCACTGAGACCCCCGGATCGGAACGAACACAGGATCGAATCTGCTCGCTCGCACCACAGCGGAAACTACAGGTGTAGGGGCCGGAGAAGAGGCGCACAGCCCCAAATAAGTATTTGACCCCCTGGACATGTTAATATTTTGTAGAAAAGCCATTATTGGCCAGCACAGATGTCAAACGTTTTTTATAGTTGGTGACAAGGTTTGTGCACATTTCGGCAGGGATGTTGGCCCCATCTTCCCTGCAGACAGCCTCCAAATCATTCAGGTTCCGAGGTTGTCGCCTGGCAACTCGAATTTTAAGCTCCCTCCAAAGATTTTCAATTGGATTCAGGTCTGGAGACTGGCTAGGCCACTCCAGATGTGCTTCTTTTTCAGCCACTCTTTTGTTGCTTATCGGTGTGCTTAGGGTCGTTGTCGTGCTGAAACACCCATCTTCAGCTCTCTCACTGAGGGAAGGAGATGTTGGTCCAGAATTCCACGATACATGGCCCCGTCCATCCTCCCCTCAATACGATGGAGTTGTCCCGTCCCCTTGGCTGAAAAGCACCCCCAAAGCATGATGTTGCCACCACCATGCTTGATGGTGGGGATGGTGTTCTTTGGGTTGTACTCGGTGTTCTTTGCCCTCCAAACACGATGAGTTGAGTTGAGGCCAAAAAGTTCTATTTTGGTCTCATCTGACCAGATCACCGTCTTCCAGGCCTCCTCTGAGTCGTCCAGGTGGTGAATGGAGAACTTCATGAGGGCCTGTACATGTTTCTTCTTGAGCAGGGGGACCTTGCGTGCGCTGCAGGATTTCAATCCATGACGGCGTAGTGTGTTACCAACCGTTTATAAATTCATCTGAGTTGAATTTCTGGAATTTTCTTTGGGATTCTGTTTCTCACTGTTAGAATGTACATATGATTAAAATTTTAGATGGTTGCATTCTTTGTAAGTGGGCAAACCTGCAAAATCAGCAAGGGGTCAAACTTGTCTTATCACTTATCACTGAATTATTTTGAGCGTTTGATAACAGGCACCTCCAGAAAAAGTTAGTTTGTGCTTTTGTTCTATGTTATCTAATGTTAATTTCACCATTTTTATTCTTTTTTTGTGTGTGTTTATTTAATTAAAATGTTTTGGACCTGTTAAGTCTCAAACAGGCCCGTGGTGAGTTTGCATCCTGCCTGGCCTGAGATGTACACCGGGGAACCAGTCACACTCAGGTGTCAGATCCAGGGAGGAGACGTGGACTGGGAGTATGAATGGACAACGACCAGCTCACTGAGACCCCCGGATCGGAACGAACACAGGATCGAATCTGCTCGCTCGCACCACAGCGGAAACTACAGGTGTAGGGGCCGGAGAAGAGGCGCACAGCCCCAAACGACGGAGTGGAATGGTCAGGTTTCACTGACCGTCTCTAGGAGTAAGTCAAATCAAACAGAAAGAAATGTGAATGTCTAATGGCATTCTCACTATTTTTTTCCTGTTTCTCTTTATTATTCTTTATTCCGTACGTTTTTCTGCGTCTCATGCCATGTGCCTGCCTGCTTCAAAATCCATCCATCCATCCATTGTCCACCGCTTATCCGGGGTCGGGTCGCGGGGGCAGCAGCCGGAGCAGGGAAACCCAGACTTCCCTCTCCCCGGCCACTTCAGCCAACTCCTCCGGGGGGATCCCGAGGCATTCCCAGGACAGCCGGGACACATAGTCCCTCCAGCGGGTCCTGGGTCTTCCTCTGGGCCTTCTCCCGGTGGGACGAGCCCGGAACACCTCCCCAGGGAGGCGACCAGGAGGCATCCTAAACAGATGCCCGAGCCACCTCAACTGGCTCCTCTCCACGTGGAGGAGCAGCGGCTCTACTCTGAGCCCCTCCCGGATGGCCGAGCTTCTCACCCTATCTCTAAGGGAGAGCCCAGCCACCCTGCGGAGGAAACTCATTTCGGCCGCTTGTATCCGCGATCTCGTTCTTTCAGTCACTACCCAAAGTTCGTGACCATAGACGAGGGTGGGAACGTAGATCGACCGATAAATTGAGAGCTTCGCCTTTAGGCTCAGCTCTCTCTTCATCACGACAGACCGGTACAGCGCCCGCATTACTGCAGACGCCGCACCGATCCGCCTATCGATCTCACGCTCCCTACCCCCGTTCGCGAACAAGACCCCGAGATACTTGAACTCCTCCACTTGGGGAAGGACGTCCGCTCCGACTCGGAGGAGGCACTCTACCCTTTTCCGGTGAGAGACCATGGTCTCGGACTTGGAGGCACTGATCCTCATCCCATGGAGCAAAAGAATATGGCTCTATCTGCTGGTCACTTGCAATTCAGCCCCTTCAAGATCTTCCCATGTGGCCTCCGTAGCCTTTCAGCCTTTGGTATAAGGTTCGGGTTAGGGTTAGGGTTCAAATCAGATCAAATCATTCCTCCCTTCAGTCTTTTTTCTTCTGCTTCCTCCATTCTTCCTCAAATCTTCAGTTCTATGTCTTTTTCAGCTTTCCTTTGGCTTCTTCTCCTTCTTCCTCCATTCACCACTTGGTATTCTAACAGCTGTTCATCAGGACCAAACATATTCTAGTTCATTATTGTATCCTCCCACTCCAAAAGGTGCTCCCCGGCCTGTGCTCGCTGTTTCTCCATCCTGGCCGACTCTCGGGGGCCCCGGTGACTCTGAGCTGTCGGCTGGCGCATCCGTCTGCGGGATGGAGCTTCCACTGGTACGAGGCGGTCCCCGATGTGGTTTCGGAGGCCTCCCACTCTTACCGGGTCAGGCCGCTGGCGCCCGCCCCCGGGGGGACGGCGCGGGACACCCAAGTCGTTCCCGCGCACACGCTCACGGCGGGATACACCTGCAGAGCCGGGAGGAGAAGCCCGCCGTATCTCACAGAACACTCTGAGGCCAGTTTTGTCTGGTCTGCAGGTGGGTTCTGCTGGTTGCTGTCATTTTGTAAAGCAGATCTCATGACATCATCATCATAATAATAATAGGGCAGCATGAGGTTCTGGGTTTGAGTCCCTGGGGGTCCCAGGACCTTTCTGGGTGGGGTTTGCATGTTCTTCCTGTTCTTTTTGGGTTCTCTCCGGGTTCTCCGGCTTCCTTCCACAGTCCAAAAACCTGCATGTTAGTTTGATTGGACATTCCAAATTGCCCTTAGGAGGGATTGTGAGTGTGTGTGGTTGTCTGTCCTTGTTTGTCTTTTGTGTGGCCAAGCGATGGACTGTACAGGGTGGCCATTGACCACTGGGATAGGCTCCAGTTCTCCCAGCAACCCCATTTGGGAACTGGGCAACGATAATGGATGGATGCATAATAATAATAATAATGATGACAATCATCATCATTGTAAGAGGGCACAAATGTGTGATTTTATGTCATTTTTCTGATTGGGGGACATCTGATTTATGTGAAAATGTTGATTTCTATCCCAATTTATTTAATGATAATATTCAGAGATCTTTCGAAGTGTCCATAACGGGGTTAAGGAATTAGAATGAAATATCCTTGAAATGATGATCAAAACTAAAATGGTAAAATGGTAAAATGTTTTTTTAGTTAAACATGTCCTTGATAATATAAGATATACATAGAAACAATACCTTTGGGTACCAAATGTGAAAAATATCAGAGAATTTGACCTGTTCTCTTGGAATGACTCACAGGATGTCTCCTTGCTCTATCAGATTTTCACCCCGCCGCGTCTCTGACCGCCATTCCCGACGCGGCGCAAATCCTCGTCTCCGGCACCGTCTCGCTGAGGTGCGAGGGAGAGTCTGAGCGGAGGCTGAGCCGGCTCGCCGGAGGCACCCGCCTGTCCCACTACCGCTGCGGGGGGGCAGATGCTGGGTCCGCTTGCACCATCGGAAGCCAGTGGCCTCAGGACTGGTGCGAGTTCGCCTCCGGACGCTTCAGCAACGCCGTCAACATCACCGTCCAGGGTAGGTGACGGCCTTCCTTTGTTGGTTTGTCTGATTTTTGTTTGTTTTATTTCTTCCAAGGGTGCACTATCCATGTCACAAAACCCTCAAGCCACTTAAAAGCTTGAAAGGTTCTGAGGGTTTCTAACAGGCCTAAAAATGGGTATTCATAGAAATGTTGTAAAGGGAGAAAAGTACATTAATTATGAGTCTTTGTTTCTAGCTACTGGTGTGTCTAAAGATGCTAACTGAAAAAAATGGTTTGCTGGCAAGAATGTGTAGAAACAAGACTGGTTCTTGTGTTAGATTCCTTTTAGAAAGCTGAGGAAACCGTTACTAAAAACCACTTTAAAATGTTTAGAGAGAAAGTTTGACTTTCACTTGAGCCCAAACAGTCTCTGTAAACAGTCACTCTAAAGCTTGAGAGGTTTTGAGGGTTTGTGCCATTCTAACGGGTCTCAAAATGGCTATTCGTTATGAAAAGCTCGATTCTCTAACACCATCTGAGCTCTCTTTTAAGCAGTTTTCGTGAATAGTTCCCCAGGCTTCTTGAAGGACATCCCAAAGGCTTCATTTATACACTGGTTGCCAGTGTGTCATCCAAGATCCTAGAAAGACCACCAGTTTGGGTTTAAACCCAAACTGGACCGGGCTCGGGTATCTTCGCCCCGAAGGAGATTTTAGATTGTACAATGGAAACATCTCCGCGGTTCTTGTGTGTTTTTTTGTTGCCTCCTGAAAAGTTGTTTTCACGTTTACGCCCATCAGTTAATCTATACGAGATGGGGGAGCTGCATGTTTTTAGGGTGTCTCCTCTAGCTTTTTATTATCTTCATCGATGACTCGTCAAAACGGCTACAGATCCATGGTACAAGGTGTGTTGCCATCGGATATATCCAGATGGTTTGGCTATTTTTATTCTTTAACAGTCTTCAACAGTTATTGAGAATCTGCTTCCAACACAGTACAGTGCAATGGAGATGACCCTAATCCTAACAGCAAGGATCAGAGACTAGGATTTCCAGATTTTTCTCTTGCGGGTGATGTTCTTGAAGTGTGAACCACTGTGAAAAACCTGGGACCTTATTTTGTTCTGATGATCTGGCTGACGGTGTGGACATTTACAGACAGCGTTATTTATTGTAGGCACAAGCCAATATTCTTCCTCAGTTTGTGTTCTGTCTCAGGGAAAGTAATACTTTTTTACCCCCTTTACGAAGCCCAGTCAAGTTTTATTCTAGTCTGTCAAACCACTGGCATGTTTGTAAATTGTATTTGTTCTTTATATAGTCCTCCTTATGTCTCTATTAAAGTTAAAAGACTGTAATGACAATTAATGAATAATGCTGTGTTTTGGGAGTCTGGGAACAATGAATCTTTCCATAAGATCCACTGTTACTGATTTTGCAGCCCAATTTCATCCCATTTCTCTTTTATGGAAAAGAGAAACAGGAAGACATGTGCTGTAGGTAGTTTTTTTTTAAATATACCTTCCATTTCTGTTTTTATCTCTCAGTTGTTCCCTTTTTCTTTCTCTTTCAAAGACACATTCCGCATAACCATGAGTAATGTCAATGGCCGTGTCAATAATTATTTTGAGAATCAAAAGTTCTGAAATGTTGTAATAGGAGAAAAGTAAATGAATGATGTTTCTTTGTTTCTAGCTACTGGTATGTCTAAAGATGCCAACTGAAAAAAACGGTTTGCTGGCAAGAATGTGTAGAAACAAGACTGGTTCTTGTGTTAGATTCCTTTTAGAAAAAGCTGAGGAAACCCTTACTCCAAACCACTTTGGAAGATTTAGAGAGAAAATCTGACTTCCATTTTAGCCCAAACGTTCTCTGACCCTTTATTCTCCTTAATTTCCTGAGGGAGTCTTCCCAAGGGATCAATAAAGTACTGTCTATTCTGGGCACTATCCATGTTACAAAACCCTTAAGCCACTCTAAAGCTCAAGAGGTTCTGAGGGTTTTTGCCATTCTAACGGGCCTCAAAATGGCTATTCGTTATGAAAAGCTCAATTCTCCAACACCATCTGACCTCTCTTTTTGTCATTTGTTTTGATTCTGCAGACACGGACGTTCTCCTGGTGAGCCCGGCCCGTCAGCCTGAGCTGCTGTCCGAGAAAACACGAGGGCGCGCCGTCCGACGTGTTTTTTTATCACAATGACAAACTGGTGCAGAACGCCGGCGGGGGGAGGCTGAGCCTGTCTGTCGTGTCCACGTCGGACCAGGGTTTCTACAGGTGTGAGCATTCAGGAAAGGTGTCACCCCAGAGCTGGATTTCAGTTAAAGGTGACTCATATCAAGTTTTTTTCTTATTTTTTTCTTTTTTCTTTCTCAATGAATGTTGACCTATGGATATATTTTGTATTCGTCACAGCTCAGAGACGAGCTGTGGAGCTGGAGTCTGAAAACCCGTTGTTTCCCGTGCTGTCCATCGCCGGACCTGTGGGTGGAATTCTTCTTCTTATCCCTTGTCCTCTCTTGGTGTTTTGTTACAGACGGGCCAAAGGTGAGGCCTTCTTCTTCCGACGGCTTTTATTATTATCGCACATGCCAAATCAAATTTCCAACTAATCGGTGAAACAGTCAGAGATTATCTTTGAAAAGCCTCCAAAAAAAGAGAGTATTGTACATTAGTACTAGTAAAACCCAGGTTGTGTCACCAGGGGTGTTGATACAGCCCGCATTGTCCATGGCTCTCATTTAGTACAACAAATATTAGTTGTAAGTGGAAACAAAAGTGGTGGAAGAGAACAATAGCTGGGGTGGACATCATTTTTGGGATATTAGAGTTTATTGTTTGCCAGTTCAGATGAGTAAAAAGCTAATGAGTGGAATCATTTAAGCTTCCCATTTTCCACTTTCCCTGTCTGAGATGCTCTTTTGTACCCAATCACGTGATCCAGCTTTTGCACAGTAACCAACAAAAGCTGTTTCCTTTTGTCACGTACAAAATAAAAGGAAGTGATTCAGGTCTCGTCAGGTGGCATCAAAATCAATAAAAGCTAGGACTAGATTAAAATAGTTGGACAAAAAATTCAAATGCAGGCTATTTTTTGTTTTATGTTCCATTGAAAATAAAATTTGACCTTTTTTCAAAGATGGAAATCATTGTTTTATGGTGTCACCGTGAAAAGGGCCATGAGGAACAAGGGGTGAAAATGTTAAATAAAAAGCCATATAAAATATTTTCTTTCTTTTTAAAAGGTCCTGGGAGAGACTGGGCGGATGAAAAAATCGACCGCAAGTCTACTCTTCTCCTCGGTCAGTTTTTCTCCAAGCTAATTAGCTTCAAATGTGATGTTGCACTTACAAGCCTATCTAATGGTATGCTTTTTTCTGTTTGACCTGCAGGAGATCTTTGCGTCTATGAAACAATCGGAGGGTCTGAAATCGCTGGAGGGGGTACAGTTCAAAATCTGATCGCAATGAAACTCATCCTACTGCTGCAGCCCAGGATTTAAGACATTGTTCATGTCATTACAGGTGAACAGCAAAACTATTACATTAATGTCACCTCTCTGAGGCAACTTAAAAACCAGAGTGAGTACACAAAAAAAACGGTGAGCCGGGGGAGCTCTGACTACAAGGACGTGAATCCAGACTCAGAAACAGGTATCAAATTTTCTTCTTTACGGGTCAGCATCTCAAATCAACGGCCAAAGATTGTTAAAATTCTGGTTAAGAGTGTACGATTTGACATTTATGTAATGATAGCTGTATCTCAGGCTGTTTTTGTGCAACAATAATGATCAAACGCATTTTTTTCCTGTGATGTGAATTACCTAAAGGTAGCAAAACAATGCTAAAATAACTTGAAGTCAATTACAATAGAAAAATAATTAATGTTTTAAAGAACACTAACTTTAAAGAATAATATATGCACACATATGTCTTTTTTGGCCAAAAAGATCATTGGACCAGAGCTGAATCTTATTTATTAACTTAATGCATACAATAAGTGTCTTTTTTGTATGTATTCCAGGTCTATAAAGACATCACTCATCAACAAAAGGAAAAGAAAAAACATAATAATGATATCAGTGTCCCACACAAATGCACCCGGCAGGGTGTGTTACACACATTTTTATGGTGAGATGGGGGAAAACACATCGGAAGATAAAACCCCGTGTCTCAGGTTCATGGATCTTCTGCTTTGAGGAGAACTGGAGACGGCCTGAACCCTCTGATGTGGATCCAGTGGTGCCTTTGAAGGCAAAAACTGATATGACATATCATTACTGAGTGGAGAAGGGAAAAGGCTGACCAAGTCATTTGTGCGTGCGTGCGTAGGTAGGTAGGTAGGTATGTATGTACAGGGGTTGGACAATGAAACTGAAACACCTCTCATTTTAGTGTGGGAGGTTTCATGGCTAAATTGGACCAGCCTGGTGGCCAATCTTCATTAATTGCACATTGAACCAATAAGAGCAGACTGTGAAGCACAGTTTTGCTCAAAATATTGCAATACACACAGCATTATGGGTGACATACCAGAGTTCAAAAGAGGACCAATTGCTGGTGCAGGTCTTGCATATACACACATATACATATACATATATATACACATATATATATACATATATACACATATACATATATACACATATATATACACATATATATATGCATTTGGGAACACCCAGATACACAGTGACATTCTCAATACAGTACTGCATCTGTAAATATTTCCAGGTCTTCGTGATAGGCTTCCCACTGTGTGTTATCGAAGCAGTATTTCACTGTAGACTATTCTGAACACGCAAATTACTGATCTTGCGAGATCACGATGCGTTTAAGAAACCCCGACTTCATAGTTGTATTTCTCAGAAGTTATACCCGAAAAAGAAGAATTTGTAACCGCTGCCACACTGAATCATAAAATGCAGAAATTCCACTTTTGTGGACAACAAATCTGACTGACCTGCTGTGGAAGACCGGCCGCTCTTTTCTAACCATCTCACACACTCACAAATAGCAGACAACCACTGCATGGTGGGCTCCATCCTCCATTTAATCTGAAAATAAATACAAAGAAAAGACCACAAGCACTTGGGAGTGATTTCAGGGACTTTATGTGACCATCAGCAAAGCTGTGAGAGGAGAAAGAGACTTACACACAGGGTTTGGACACGCCAACAATGAGACAAAAACAGAAGGGCGGAGAACCACTTTTTGCTTAACGTGTCCACATATGTCATACATAAGTCCTTCTCTCATACAGACCTGGATTTAAAACACTAGTCCGGGGTAGTTAAAGCTGGTCTGTGGACGACTTATCTCCGGGTGATTCCTGGAGTCGGCCGCAGAAGCCCTTCTCGATTTCTTTTTTCTCGGCCGCAAAACGTGCAGTCGAAAAGCTCAAAGTTTGGCCAGGAGGGGGATTCTTAACTGTCTGCGCGGATGCTACTGGGGGCTGTGGATTAAAACCATACCCATTTCAACCCTCTGGTCCCAATCTTCACCCACTGTGGTATTTACAAAAAGCCAAAAAAAGGAAGCAAGATAAAGTTTTTTTTTGCTTTAAAAAACAAAATAAAAGGAATAGGAAAGAAAACGGAGACCTTACAGTGCTTCTCTTGGAACGGGTTAACAAAGTGCCATGTCTAGTATTCTCTTATTAAGAGAAACAATGCTTGAAAGAACATTAAAAAAATAATAATAAACCGCCATAATCTGTCCTTTTGAGACCAATATTAGTGACGTGGGGTGGAATCTTGTGCTCTCGCGTTCGCCTGAAATAAATTCGCAATTTTGAGATGGAATTTTTCAAGGCCCGTTTAGCCAGATCCAGATCCTCCCACAAGTTCTCTACCTTTCCCGTGGTGACCATTCGGCGGCGGTGATGGGTCTAATATCTGGCGTCTGAAGGAACAGAGCGGCACTTGAATGCGCCGCAAAAAGGAGAGAACTTATTTTTTTCTTTCTTTTCTTTTTTAATCGCTTTTAAAGACCCCAACTCGTGTGGGCTCAGCCGAGGAATGACTGGAATAGCTTAACTGGTGACTTTTTTTAAGCCGATGACTTTTCCACTGAATGTGCTGACGCGTTATTGGGGAAGCAAAGAATTCTTTGACTTAAAATCTCCCTCCCCCCCCTTTTGAAGTGAAAAACGGAAACCTTGGCGGTCAGTCCGTAGAGTCTCTGTAATGGTCCCCCGTCACAAACCGGGCCGGGCGGTGGCTCCGGCTCTGCCTCGGCATCGTGTCCGCCTAAAATGCGGAGAATCTGTGACCTTTCCTCTGGTCGGTTGCCCACAACCTCCCCCCCTAAATATGTTCATCCTCAGATGGCGGGGGGGAGAAAAATAGTGGAACCTCACTAGGTGAGGGATGAGAAAAAATACATCTGTCTGTTCAGTTCAACAAGTTCATCCTTGACAGATCGAGGACGAGAGCTTTAAAAACAGCTGGAATTGGAACCCATCACCATAAAAGCTGCCTGAGCATGGCATGTCGCACAGTTTGGTTGGGAGGAGGAGGAGGGATTAGGGGGGAACGGGGGGGGGTTTAAATCCTTCAGGAGAGCAGCTTTAAAAAAAAAAAAAAACGAGCGTGCCGTCCTCCGGCATTTTCCTCTGGCCGTCTCCCCCGAGTGTCCGGCGGCCGCTAGTCGGGCATGTCGATGCACAGCTTGGGCGGCGGCACAAAGTACTTGCCGGGGCTCTGCGTGATCACCACGCCGGTCTTCTTGTGGAACATGGGGGCGATCTTGGGCGGCGGCTCGGGGACGGGCAGGTCCTCGGCCGCCTCGGGGTCCTCGCTGCGCTGCAGGTCGTAGGACACGTTGCCGTACTCCCGCAGGAAGGGGAGCAGCTCCAGCAGGAAGTGGCAGAAGTCCTTGCGGATGCCAAACCACCCTGCGGAGGAGAGAACCCGGGGGGGTTAGCGAGGAGGTGGGGGGCAGGGGGTCTCGGGTTCTACAAATACTCACAGTGGTTCCCGCCCTTCTGGCCGAAGGTGGTGGCCATGAGCGTGAGCAGCGACAGCCACAGAGGGACGAACACACACACGTAGCTCAGGCTGTTGTGGCCGTCCAGCTTGTGAACCAGAAGGATCTGTGGAGACCAAAACCCATAGCTTTAGAAAAAAAAAACACTTCGTAAAGTCTCACGGCATCCAAATTCTGAACTAAACTGCACTAAAAAACGGCTCAGCATCATGATCGGGTATTTTAAAGAGCACCTTAGAGAGGCAGAGTCTCAGATACAAAGCTTTCTAGGGGTTCTGGAACCCTTTCTGAATAATCTTCAAAGCTGATGGAAAGGGGGGGGGGGTCTTTGTGGCTTTTTGGTTGAAGAGGCTATTAAACAGCTAAAATCCTGTACCAAACAACATGAAAGAGGCAGCAGTCCTCCTCTAAATGGGTTCCTCGCAGTGGGAGACGATTCTTAAAATTAAATCTAAAATTACCTGAGATCTGCTTGATATTGCATGTATTCTCATGACAAAAAATGTTGTTTTTTATTACTAATTGTAATAGAGGAAAAACCCTGTCGTGATTCACACAACAGATGTTTATGGAAACCCATAAACAATGATTTCCCACAGGGATTATTAAAGTATTTCTGATTCTTATTTGAGCATCCTACTACATAGTAGGGTTGTCACAATACCAAAATTTTAAACTCGATACCGATACTCAGGAAAATACTCAATACCATTTTCGATACCACAAGGATAAAAACAAAGACCCCAAAATTTTACTGAATTTTGACAGGTTAATGTCTTTCATTTCAAACTGACCCGTTACTGATGTTATGGTGGCCGGTGGCCCATATTAGTGACCCTGACCCTAACCGGACTGGAAAACAAAATAAAATAGACAAGGATAAATTGGAAATAAAAGTTAATAATGACCTACTAAATAATCCAAAAGAATTGGCAAATGAATTCAATAATTTCATTAACTCTGTCAATGAAATAACCCAAATGTTTAGTCATTCTGATATAGCTCGCAAATGCATAGATCCTGGACAGCCAATTTTCAAATTAGAGCAAATTTCTGAGCTAGAAGTGGCCAACATTATTAACTCCCTGAAGCCCTCAAAGGCCAAAGATGCGTATGGCCTTGACACACACTTTTAAAAAATCCATAGAGATACACTGGTATGCCCAATAACACATCTCATTAATTTATCAATCAGATTGGCAGTTGTCCCATCAGGCTGGAAGGTGGCCACAGTCTCACCAATTTTTTAATCAGGAGACAAAACAAATATTTCAAACTATCGCCCCATCAGCATTCTCCCTGTTGCATCTAAGGTTGCAGAGAAGTGGGTTTCTAAACTGCTAAATGAACACCTCAGCTGAGGCCGCTTTCTCCTGCACCCCATGCAATTTGGGTTTCGCCAGTACCACTCCACAGAGACGGCAAACTGTGTCTTCATAGAAACAGTGAACTCCTTGCTTGATAAAACCACCTGTGTTGGGGCAGTCTTTTCGGATTTCAAGAAGGCGTTTGATACTGTAGACCATCAAGCACTTCTGTCCAAACTGACTCACTTCAACTTCGCAGATGATGCCATAGCTTGGTTTAAATCTTACCTATCCGACAGAAAACAATCTGTTCGTGTTGGTGGCACTATGTCATTCTCCCTTGAATGTCCAGCGGGGGTTCCACAAGGTTCTATTCTGGGACCAGTATTGTTTTCCCTATATATAAATGACCTCCCAGATGTTTGCCAAAATGTACAATTCCAAATGTGATTCCAATTCCTGATGATGCTGTTATTTTTACACCTGCTAAAAGCATACAGGAAGCATCATCCGTCCTCACATCAGCCCTGGACAACATACAGCCCTGGCTCCTTCAGTCATGTCTTTTACTGAACAAAAAGAAAACCGTTTCTAGGATGTTCATAAAAAAAAACATAAAACTTGAGCGGTCAAATGTATTCCTGGAGGGAGTGGAACTTGAGCTTGTAGAAGAATTCAAGTACCTCGGGGTCACACTAGACAACACTTTCATTTAAAAAACACATAAAAAACACTGCAAACACAATTAAATTTAATATACGTAACTTTAAGCAAATCAGATCATCGATGACAATCAGTTCTGCTAAAATGTTTCTACACTCAATGATATTTTCACACAGACTGCATCACAACCTACTGACTCACTGGAGACAACTTTAAAACCAATAGAAATATTATTCAAAAAATCTTTAAAAATCTTTGATCAAAAGCCCCTGTCATTCCATCAATGTAATATTTGGGAAAAATATAATATGCTCAATTTTTAAAACTTTATTCATTATAAAAATAGTTGTTTAATTTCCAAAGTTCTGAATGGATTAGCCCCACCTCCACTTTCTACCTACATTAGACCTGGTAGACGTATTTGCACCAGAGCCTCTTCCAGAGGAGACCTAGAAATCCCCCACAGAAGAACAACCTTTGGACAAACCGTTCTATCAGTCAGAGGGGGTCACTTCTGGAACAGCCTCCCAACAAACATCAGGGAAGGTCCCACTTTTTACACATTTAAAAAGCACCTTAAACTGTTTCTAAAAAGTTCCCAGACATGCAATCACTAATTTCGTGGAGCTGTGGGGCCTGGATCTGTGGTTGGGAGTCTCCTCCTATCACTTCCTGCAGGTGTTCCTAGAGCTGTGGAGTCTGGATCTGTGGTTGGGAGTTTCCTGCTGCCCCCGTGTTCCTGCTCTGTTGCCGTCATAACTTCTACCATTATCATTAATACTAATATCATTGCCATTTTTCATCTAGTCTACGTGTTGCTGTGTTGGCTGCCTCTCTCTGCTCCCTCTGTCCTTCTCTCTCTCTCTTGCCCTCTCTCTCTCTCACCCCCAACCGGCCGAGGCAGGTGGCCGCCCACCCTGAGCCATGGTTCTGCCCGAGGTTTCTGGCTGTTAAAAGGAAGTTTTTCCTTGCCTGTGTCGCCTAGTGCTTGCTCATGGTGGGAATTGTTGGGTTTCTGTAATTAACTTCAGAGTAGGGTCTGACCTGCTCTGTTTGGAAAGCGCTGTGAGACAACTGTTGTTGTGATGTGGCGCTATATAAATGAAATTGAATTTAATTAATTTTAATTTTGTAATGTCATTGTCTGAACGTGTGTTTGGACTGATTTTGTATTTTCTGATTTTGTGTTTGATCTTCCTGCCTCAGGACGAGAGATGTAAACTAGCAACTATGCTATAATCTGGCTCATTTACAATCTGTATGAGATTGTTCATTAATGTGCACTGTCCTGATTAAATAAATAAATAAATAAATAAAAACCCTCCACCCTTCATAATTGTGAGAAATAAATATTTTTTGTTAAACTTGTTTGGACTTATTGTACAAACCTATTTAACATCCACTATTTTAACATGATATTATGAATAGCGTTTATTTAAGTGTTGGAAAGATTAATTTCACTATTTTTAAATTAATGTCTATGTTGCCATGAGGCATTACTATTTTCTTGCCTGGGATCTTCCTATTGGTGACGTAATCAAAATGGACAACTTGGATGTGGGCGGAGTCGGATATGTACTTGATTAATGGTTGCATGTTTTTATTAGCCCTTAGCCGCAGCTAACAGTTCAAGGCTAACGTCTTGTTAATAATCATAAACAACATAAATAAATACATAAATAAATCTGCGAGAAGGGGTGCAGCGACGGCAGGTCAGCTGTGTTCTGACGCACACGCGCGCACGAGGGGAGGGGCGGAGGCATCGATACTTTTGAAAATGAGTATTGTATCCGGATACAACATTTTAGTATCGATACTTTTTTTAAGTATCGATACTTTTGACAACCCTACTACATAGTAAAAACAACTACCAATCACTACTGAGCAAAATAAAAGATATAAAATAATGTTTCTTCTCATATAAAACTCAGAGTACTGAACCGTGAGAAGCAAACCCACCTCAAAGGTGAGAAGCGGTACAACGATGGTCATCCAGCTGATTGCCATGGTGATGTGAGTTCGCCGCTGCTCGGCAATGATGTCTATGGAGCGGAGGAAGAGCACCGACCAAATGATGTAGTAAAGGACCACAAGGCACAAGAAGGACATCAGGATCCAGAGTGGGACGCACACCACCTGCGATCCCGTAGGGAGGAAAGCACAGGAAGTAACGGCGGGCTTTAGTTTCAACTTGAGAGAACCGCGATGAACAAATACGGTATTCAAATGTGTAGAGATGCCTCACCAGCCAAGGCCAGGTGATGATCCTGTCCAGCCTCAGAGCGATGAAGATAAACTGCAGGATATTCACGGAACACAACACCTCCAGCTGGCCCAGAGACAGAGGAGAGCAGTGCCCAATCACAGCTCGGTCTTCATACAAGTGTCATCCCAACCTCCCCCAACAGCTTTTCAAGTTTTACAGCACCTTCCTAAAGGCTTCCTCACCTCGAGAGAGCGGTCGTGTCGAAATCCCCAGACGCACGCCGCCACGGAGACGGGCGACACGAAGAAGAGGGGCATAAAGACGAGGAGCCAGAAGTAGTTTCCTCTGGCCACGCGGTCGCACACCAACACCTCGAACATGAGCAGCAGGACGTGGAGCCCCACTGCGATCAGCATGGCCTTGAACTCCACGCAGGTCTCCCCTTCAGCCCTGAGAGGACAAAAAGAAAAGCCACGGGAATTTTTTTAATTAATTTTTTCGACTCCAAGGTGGATCATGAGAAACTCTAAACATTGAGAACTCATTCAAACCTGTTTTACAGGATTTGCTCATGTTTACTCCTAAAATATACTCCAATGCACTGTTATTGGTGATCCCACCTGTACTGAGGGTTGTGGGCCCACACTCCCGTACCCACAGAGGCCCCGATGATAACCAACAGCTTCCACAGCCAGATCGGGGTGAACACAGCCCAGTAACTCCATTGAATGACTCCATCCAGCCTCAAGGAGAGCAACACGGAGAACAGCAGCAGGCAAGAGTAGATCAGGAATTTACTGAAAGAGAGAAAGAGAGAGAGAGAGAGAGAGAGAGAGAGAGAGAGAGAGAATTTGGACTATCAAAAATAGAGGGGACTTTTTTTTAAATAAACATCTTATTTATATCTAAGTGTGCATATGTCATTACAAATAACAGCTTAACAAATGAGGAAGGAGTCTGAAGGTTTTGCTGATCTAGGATGATAAAGGTGACATAAGCAGAAAGAATAACAAAAATTGTATAATGTCAGTTTTATAGAAACAGAGTAAACAGGGATACTGACCCCGTTAAGGTTACAACAGCTGATGTTCTCAGTATGTAGTACACAACATCAAAATTTGATCTTAAATATGTGCACTTTGTGACCTCCCATCACATCAAGTTAGCTTAGCGTTGCCCTTTATTTCTTTTATTTTTTTCTGCAGACTCATTAATCTTCCTTAGCCTGTGATGGCATCTTTCTGTTAGCATGCTATCTAAAGCTCTGGATCTGAACCAGCGACACTTTCCGGATTAACTTTATATCTCAAACCAGTGTGTCAAACTCCATATGATTATAAACACCATCACAAATATATATCTGCCGTGATTACTCATTTATTCTACTCTTGACAGAGTAGAATCAAATTCAAGCTGCCATCTCAGCTCACATTACACCCCAGGCGATCTGCATTTGCAACCTAATTTGGGACGTACGTGATATTGCAGTTGCCTTTTCGGCCCTTCTGGTAACTTGTTTCAACTTATTTCAGTTAACCATCACCGCTACAACATGGGGAACTTTTCAATAACACAACCACATGTCACATTTTTGGCAACACGAAAAGTACAGAAAGCTGGAACTCAAGTTTGATTGTTTATTTTCCAACGTGTTAGCAAGGCCTTCTAAAGCCGTATATCCGTTAGCATCACCTACTTTGTTCTGACATGTCTATGGGCTCATACTTTCTGACCGAAGACATGCATGTTTTTCACAAGTGTGGGCCATACGTGTTTTTTTTTACCAACAAAGCTACGAAGGGGAAAATACCACTAAGATGTACTGGCTGCGTTGGTCAAATTCCTAGCTAACGTTACCTGGGATTGAAGTCCTGAAAGAGTCCTCTCAAATTCATGGTGGAGGGCAAGCTGGTTAGCTAGCTAACATTTGTTTCCCGATGTTACCAGCAACTTCTCCGCCGAACCTGAATCCAACACATTGTACTTTCGTAGACTTTTTCGACGGTGCTTCATCACAGACTCAGTGCTAGAGGTGTTTTGTTTTTTCGTGATTAACAGTATGCCGGAAATGACGTCGCTCACTCGTCGCATTTTGTCGCGGAGCCAGGTTGTCATGGCGCTTTACCGCCACCTAGCGTTAGGTATGACTACTGTTAAGTCAGAACAACGCAAAACACGCACACATTCTATCTATGCTCTAATCTGTTCTTCATGGTCAAAGTGAAGCTTAAATGGATCGACTTTTAACCTATAAATACATTATTTTAAATATAATTTCATACCAAACTTCCCAATTTATTTGGTTTATTCATTAGTCTTCTTCTGACAATAAAGCGAGAGTGCAGTTAAACCAGTTTTACAGTCTTCAATCCCATTGAAAAGTTATCAAGCCCCCTCTTAAAAAAAAAACTAACTCCCATATCCTTTACCTATGTGATAAATGGAATTAGCTTTAATTAATTTGTGTGTCTGATCAAACATTTAGCATTTGTGTGGAAATGCTCACATAAAGTTCATGCTGATTGGAACTTTACCCATGCAGAAAATGTTTGAAGAGCTTTGTTTTTTATGAGAAGAGAAATGTTCTTTAAACGGGTTATGTGACTTCCTGACAGACAATATACATCTGCAGTGGGCTTAAAATGGCTAATGGTAAGACTTGCGGTTTCTCATCTCATACAGTAAGTCCAAAATTAGATTAGATGCATCAAAAGACTGGGAAAGGGAAAACATTTGTATGGAATATCCCATTTGTGAGCAGGCTAACTGAAAATGGGTGAATGACAAGTCTGGGTATGAAATGAACAGCCAACAGGTCTGAGTCATCCACGACCAAGGTTCACAACTTGGCGAACTACTGCATGAGGAAATAGTCCAACAGTTTGAGAAAAAATCTTCTCAATTTGTGGATTTAATGATCGTCCAATACCAAAAACAACAACTAAAACAAAACAGCTTTGAATGGCCATGGCCTTTGATTTCTCAGGTGTCATTGCATTAAAAATCAACCTCATTCTGTGAAGAACATTACTATTTGGACAGAGAAATACCAATTTCAAACAGTAAGCTAATTACTCTTCACTGTCAAATATAGAGGCAAAATAGGAGTAAAGTTATGCCTATATAGGTACTTTCCTGACTACCCCGTACCCCGCCTCTCGCCCATTTTCTGCTACCATAAACTCCACCCCTCCCGCTACCCTGTTGATAATAAGCATTTTAGAAAATGGATGGATGATCTACTTATATGTGAAGCCATGCAATGTCAAAATGATGCACAATGCCTGTAACATCTCTTTAAATCACAACACAAGTTCATATAGATAAACCAATTAATTATGATCCAAAGTAAGATTTTCACCTGGACTTTTTATCTATTGGAGCAGACATGCACTATATTTTGATCATATAAAGACTTTGCAAGATTTTTTAAGTCTAGTTAAAAAGATAGACCAGTGATGCCCCATTGATCTGTTGATTTTCAATGTACATAGTAAAAGTTACACAATCCTGCCCTCTGTTGGCATCAAATAGTAGATTTTTTAACTTTGCTTAAGGCATGTCTGCAGGGACAGAATGGAGAACACTGATTTAGCACTTGTAGTCAAGTTATGGTTAAAATAAGGATTTTATATCACAAAACATAAACAAGCTGTGCAGGAGGTAGGGGTGAGATAAGGGGTAGAGGAGCACTTTTTAAGGAATGTTCCGATTTGATGTAGTCTTATAAGTTTCCTAAATAAATCCAGAGCCATTCTGAACACTCAAACCAAGATAAAAGCAAATCGAATGTTGGGAATTGGCTACCAGCTCTCTGTATTTAGAAATGAGAAGAAATGGGGAAATATTTGAGGTAACAACCAAAATTATTCTCAGTGTATGCATTTCCCCAAACAACACCTACTGCTGGAGAATGGTTGTCCCAAGATTGTTATCTTTGCAATAAATGTAATCTATTTAATAATATTGTTTTTTTCCATGTGTCATAGGATAGCATGTATAAATTGCACATAGTTTTATTCAAAAATCCCCCCCCCCCCTCCCAATAATCAAAAGGACTGAATTCAAAGTTGACAGGAAGTGCAGACCAACCATATCTCTATTCACCCACAAATAAACAAACAAAATTAATACACATAATGGCACACCCTTGCATACCAGGTAGCCTGAGATCATAACAGCCACCCTCCTGATCTAAAAAGGCCATTTTTAAAGCTTCCTGCCAATTCCTTCCCAGGCTGTATCTAACAGCAATGTCTGCCTGGTATTAAAACCTGTCAAGAAAACTCAAGCAAATAACAGAACAAGTATCTTATCAAAGAAATCTTAGGACAGTGGAACATGACCATTTCTCATTTTTTGGAACCCTCCTTTTCTGCTGTAAACACACACATACAAACAAAATGTCGACTTACTGGTTTTGGAGTGCTCTCCTGCCCGAATGTAACTGGCTAATAGGTGGGGCATAGAAGGTTGGCACTGAGGAAGAAAGACTAACATGTGTATTTTGCTAAGTTTCGATTGGATTCTGAGTTAGGTCATAATGGAAAACATTATCCGTCGAACGCTTAAAAATTATGTCATTATTCGTCCATAAAGCTAATATGTTGCTGCATCACTCGGTTAGCTAAAGACGCCATCAGCTAATTAGTTACACCTTGTGACCCGCGGTGGGTCCGCCCCCCCCAATTTTATTAATTTATTTAGTTAGTTATTTTGTCATTTATTTTGTCGTTATCCACTTAATCTATTAACTATTTTTTATTACTTATCAATTTATTTATTTTTAAATTTTTTCGGACCTCCAGGTGGGAGCTCCCAATGCAGCCAAGCACGGCAGCCCTCTCCGGGGGAAGACTGTGTTCTTCCCGGTTCTCACCCCCTTACCCCTCCCCCCCGGGCTCCAGTACACAGAACCCACTCACCACATAAGGATTCGGGACTATGGGGGTGTCTGCCGGGTTCGGTTAAGGGTGCCTCCCAGGAGGTTCTCTTTCCCGGGGGGGGGGGGGGGGGATGCTTTGCGTGTCCAAATCTATCTTGTATTTTATGATCAATTTAGAGATTAGTTTTTATTATGGGCAGTTTTAATTTTTTAATTTCTTTTAATTTTTTAAATTAAAAATTCAATCGAATTGCAATTAAATGGAATTAGATTTTTCAAACAAATCCAAACGCATTTGTTTTTATGGAAAGGAGCTTTGCAGGTGAGTTCAAGGCCAAGTGACCAAAACCACGTTTTCTATACAATAGGATTGTGAGGACAAACTACTATGTAATGGCCCTGAAGGGAAAAAACGTTTCCAGACCTTTTTCTTATAATTGTTGTGAGAATTTGGGGCTCAAAGTTTTAAAGTGTGATCCCTGTGTCTAATTTAGTTTTACACTTACTCTTGATTACAGATGCTGCTTGCTTATTTTCATGATTTTAAAAGATTTCTGTTAAAGTAAACTGTATGTTTATTTGACACAGTTTCCTCTTCATTATATTTGTCACAGGGAAGGCCAACTCCTGTTTTATCGAATTTTTGTCCGAATTTTAGGCAAAATACTTTAGATCACAGATTAGATGGAAAAAATGGAGTGCTTTGCGGCATATTTTTGTTAAAAAAACAACAACAATACTATAAAGAAATAAATAATAAGTAATTAAAAAATAAGCAAAACTTACCGCACGTTGGCGGGAGCTGTATAAAGCCGCAGCCTCTCAGGGCGCAGCCTGGGAACTTTTCCTTGGAACCCTTTAATATCGACAAAAAGGCAAAAGACCGTTTTGAATAAATACGATTCGTTGAAAGAGTCCATCCAACACGACCTTTATGTTGTGTTGGCTGGATGGGGATCTGCAATAAAGAGGCTCACAACTCCGGCAGCTTGGTGATCTTTATTTTAGAAAAACATTTTAAAAATCCTTCAACGTTTACAGTCAGTAATCTATCGAAAGAATGTCGGAATAAAAAAGGGGGGGGGAAATAATTTTAAAAAATATGTATTAAATATCCCTGTTGCAGCGGTCAAATGAAAACAGAGCTGTTATTTTTTTACATTTATTGTCAAATATCTATATCACGATAACATCCACAATATGTTTTGGAATCTACATTTATAAATTGACAAATGAGGACATACATGATTCTAATTTGGAGTGTGATCCACTCCACGTGTATCGCGTGTGGATTAAACATAGTGCAGGATAAAGTGCCGCTTTGTAAAAAAAAAACCTTTTTAAAAAATGGTTAAAAAAGTTATGGAAAAAAGGCCACCGTCAAACACTGGCTTCAACATCAGTGTGTCGGGATGGCGCTCCTTCAGGCACCGGCGGAGTGGGGGGAAGTTGCCATCTGCACAGCTGCGTAATGTCCTCCATTCATGGCTCCAGATGTGGAGCCCGGTCTGCGTGAATACACCCACCAACAGAACCCGGCAACGGAGAGCAGAAACAGAGCCAGGACCACGCCGAAGGAGACCTTCCACGGCGTCGTCTGGTGAGCGCCACCGTCCTGTGGAGACAAAATATTATATATTTAGTTGTTATTCATTTTTATCGACGCTGCGATATTGACAGGTTCGAGCTCCGAGAAATACTCACACGTGGGGGCGGGGAGGTGCTGGACAGACGTCCCATTACCTCCCGGACGGTCAGCCGGACGACAGCGATAGTTGTGTTTTCGTGAGCGTCTTTGTCTTCAACCGAGCAGAAGTAATCCCCGCCATCATCCAGCTGTGCCCCGCTCAGCCTCAGAGACAGGTCCCCGTCAGAGAGGCCGGCGGGGGGTAAGGAGAGTCTGCCTCCGGCCGCCGAGCCTGTGCCTCCGCCGGGCTCTACCTTCTGCTTAACCAGAATAGCCCCGTTTTTCCTCCAGACGACGTACAATCCGCTTTTTCCCGCGGTTACGTAGTCGCAGGGAAGAGTGACAAGTTCTCCCACCGGGACCGTCCTCTTCACGGCTCTGACAACTTTCAGCTGCACTATCTTCGTCTCACCGCCGCATTCGAACTCATAGGTTCCCCCGCCATCGTTGTAAACCGTCCGGTTGAAGACCACAGAGGAGTTGGCGCCGATCCGGTCAGTGTAACCTGCGGCGGGGGTCCACACACCGTATTTCTTGATGGCCAAGAGCCGAGTCCCTCCGGGTCCGAAACGGTGGAACAGCTCACCCGACGCGCCGTCGCAGTTTTCGGGAAAAGGGAACCGGTCTCCTAAAATAGCTATCAATGATTCTCCAAAAGCTGATAAAAGGATAAAAATGAAGAGGGAAAGGACGTCGTTTGCTCGCGTCATTCCTCCACAGTGTCCCGACTCTGAATGATGCTCGTGGAGATGGGCGGAACTACTGTACACCGCATGCCTTGTCTCTGATATCCCCCCGCCGCCTGTAAAACATTACTTATACAGGAACGCAGCTGCAATTGAAATAAAACAACTAAATTATCTTTTTTTTTTTTTTTTTTACCTAGGACTATTTGAAAAATCACCCAGAGATGTATTTCTTCGTCATTATTCTTTTCATTCAGTTTCGTCCTTGCGGAAGTATAGTGCACAACAGGGAATTAAGATGACGAGGAACAGGCGATGCGATTGGTCGTCGCACGTTGGTGCGTCACAGTTATTGGAGGAGGGATTGAGAGAACGGGCCGTCACATTTCTTTACCGGTATTCGTTTTTGTGTCAAACCTTAAATATGGAAGAGTTGGAGCTATTTTGTTTGCTGTAACTGCCCCGCCCAGGGATTCTGTTGGTAATAACAAATTCAGGTATGCGAGCCGGATTTGGCGTACTTGGAAGTTTGCTCCACGCTGCATAGCCCGTGTTAGTCACGGAGGCGACACCTGTCAGTCTGTTCTCATCTTGGGTTTCTTGTCTCTCATATGGATTTATGCAGTTACCCCCAGTTACTCACAGGGGCCATTTAGGATGTTAAAATAACTCACATTCAAGTGAAAACTATTTGTGGGTTAAAAGAGATTAGGCTACATTCAGTTAAAGAGAGGGGAAAAAAGTTTATTTTAACAAACATTCTTGTGGAAAGATCATGCACTGAAACAATCTATTGACAGACTTCACATTCAACGTCCTTTAAACATTTATCTTCTTAGAAGTAAAATAAACTTAAGCTACATTTCTTTAAATAGGTGAGGCACTGACTACTTTAGAGGCATATTTACAAATATATAAACCTAAAAGGGGAACTTATTCAATTGGGCATACTGGTTATTTCGTATCTCATCAACGTTCTTCACACACAGACACTCTCTCTCACGTAAGGTACGTATTAAAAGGTACGTAAAGATAAGAAAAAAACGTTACAATTACAGCAGCGACAGAAAGCGGAATTCGCCTCCATTTGTTGGCAATTATACAATTCATATAACACAAATGAGAGTATAGAGGGTTGAACAAAAATACAGATTTCAATTTGGACCACTAGTGAAATATTCTGTTGTTTTTAAAAGCGTTTAATTCTGATACTAAAATACATTTGATACAGATTGCTCAACGAAAAGCATGACAAAAAAAACAAAGAATATTTCATTTAAGACCACAATTTTGTTTTTAAAAATTCTATTGTATTTTTTAAAAATATTCTATTGTATTTGTCTTAGTGTAATCTCACGTTTGTATAAAACTGAAATGAAAAATGTTTGCGGACTTACGTTTATTTGTAGGCGCCTATCCTTCGCCATAAAAACCTCCGTACTTTGTTGTAAAAGTCCTCTTATTTTCTATTTACCTAGCTTTCATTTGACCACTTATGTTGTCTAGATAGAATGTTCTAGAACCTTCGTTTTCTCTCATCTCCTGACAGACTGAGTTCTTTCGCTGTCGTTTTAGGCCAAGTGTGCTGCATTTCTGCTCAAATCGCTCATGCAATCTTTTTAAATCACTATCAATATAAATAATACAAATAAATCTTTCAGCTTCTCCCTGTCTTTCTAGTTATTCGTACATGATGACTCAGCACTTTTAAAAAGACGTGTTGGACGTTTTTACAAAAAGACACAGAAATCGGTCAAAGATAGAAGAACGTTCTGGAAATGCTGTAAACCTGGTGTGTTAACTTAAAGCAGTTTTGTCAGGAAACTCTAAATCCTGAAAATATCTCATAAAATTGAATTGAATTGAATTGAATATACTTTATTGATCTCCAGGGAGAAATTGACTTCAAGTACAGCCCGTACCAAGATCAAACAAACAAAAACACATAGACACACCAGTTCGGGAAGACTGAGGGCAGCCACATAGGAGGGCGCACCAATTTTTCTTCAGAACAAAAAGAATACATAATTCGAAGGGCTGTAAACGGTACCCCTAATCAAATAAGGTAATAAGTTAATCAGTTAATAGCTAAAAACCACAACAGACTGCATAAAGAACCATCTCTGATATTAAAGCATTTTCAGTATAGATTCTTTTGTTTTTCGCCTTAACTGAGGCACAAAATCAAAAGATGCAATTTTGTGTTTCAGGTAAGAGGAGGTGCTCATTATATATTTAGTTTATTTGAGCACTTATAATAAATAAAAACAAATAGCACCTTAGAGTAACAATTTCACAGGGCTTACTAGATGACCTCTTGGTAAACATTTTTCTCACATGGATATAGTGAGATTTTTAATGCAACTACATCTGAAGCGTTCAGCTCTCAGTCAGGAGGTGAAGCCAAGTTGTAAGATTTTCCTTTCCGTAAACACTAAACACATCGCCGTCCACATAAATGGTCCACACTGAAGAGGCCACAAGCCAATGACAACCCATTTTTCTCACACATCCAGAGGGAAACACTGGCTTACATTCATTTATCGGTAATCGGGGGTCTAAAGACATGGGTTTTACCGCTTTCTGATGGGGTTTTCACTGATTAATGCTGGCGAATGCCCAGAGAACTGCTTGCAGCCTCTTAACTAGACCAGCTTGAGTCAAAGAAGCGTGCGTTTCATTCACCCCTGAGAATAGTTCAGCCATTTGCGGGCTCCTGGACTTGATCCAGCTGTTGCCCTTTTTACTGTTAACTGATTTCAAGCACAAAATTCATATTTAGCCACGATAGCACAGGATAAAAACAACAAGTCAACTCCAGCAATTCCACATGTGGATTTGTTTAGGTGCAATTCCTTCCTATAAACCACCAAAACACCCGAGGAGACTAAAACTTTTCAAATATCAACTGCTAGGCCAAAAAAAAAAAAAACTTTAAAAATGTTGCCAACAGGATTTAAGTAAGCAAATAGTTACTTTATGGACAATTCCTGCGTCTTTAAGATGGCCAAGTTCTTTAACCCCTACTTATGCAACGAGTGGACTCATTTCTAAAACAGCCATGTGTAAAGACCGTTTTTAAACAAACGATAACCTGTTAAAGAAGGGGTCAAATCGCTGGCGCGCATCGGGCACAGGAAGCAGTAGAGGAGGTTTCAGAAACTAAACTAGATTTAACGCGTTGTTTTTTAGTGTTGTTTTTTTTTTGGCTGAGCAATTTGTAAAATCATCATTGAATTAACCGACACTTATTTTTTGATCAGGTCCTCCTGATCCTCAGGTAAATCTAGCAGGGGACTGAAACGATTACTGGAAGCTCTTCCAAATCGAGAGCTTATGTCATGATGAGAGAAACTGGCAGAGCGCTGTTGACCGACACCGTTTGAAGTGGAAGCTGGAAGAGAGCTGGAACGGACAGACGTGGAATCGGTGTTACTTCTCTGTCTGTGACTGTTGTGGCCGAGGGTCTGGTTTTGTCCGGAGATGTCTGGGTGGGTGCTGTTGGTTTGGAGGCTGCTATACCTCTGGCGAGGGCTGAGTGGTTTCAAGAGACTTTTGGACTTTTTTGGGGACCGGTCCTGCTGCCTTACGGGACTCTGGGTCACCTCTAGCTGACTCAGTCTTCCGTTGAGACCGTGGATAATTTTGTCTTTTTCAGACAGGCGCAACCTCAGGTTTTCATTATCTCTCTGCAGCTCAGCGTATCCACCGTCGGCAGCCGGGGTGCTTTGAGCAGGCGGCTGTCCTGGCGGAGTTGGCAGTTCTTCCATTGTGTGAAAACATGAAAAAAACGACACAAATCCAAACCTTACTCTTTCAAGAATCGTATCAGACGTTCCCAGTAATATTAAAACCCTTGGGTGACTTTAATCTGTTTTAACTTATACATCAAGAACTAGCACAGCAAAAAATATTCCTGCATTTATGCAGCTCTGAGATGATCATCCCCATGATTTACAGCAGTTGTGGGTATACAAAAAGCTAGGAGTCCATCAGTAGCATTTACGTGGCTCTACATTAAGTTTAAGTTAAGAGGAAGATTAAAACTAAACTGGATCACACCAACACATTCAGCCATGTGTAATGGACACATTGAGGGAACCTTTTCCAATCACAGCTGGTTGAAACATTTGTTTCGTGGCTGTGAATGGTGTGTAAAGTTTGGCTCCACCCAGTTAGACGCCAGTCCCAGCACATGTGGTGGTGTTGTACAAATAACTGGGCGACTTTCTCTCTCTGCCTTTTTGGGGATGATCTAACTCTGCCACAGGGTTTAGCTGAAATCCCACTGAGCTGAGCAGTATCTGATGAAAATCCCCTGGAACATTCAGCAGGTGTGAGAGGTAAGCCCTGTGTATTTGTCTGCGGATAACCATGAATGACTAAGCAACAACACTTTGTAATTATTGGTTTACCACTTCATCATGGATTACTTCGGTTTCCCCTTTTTATTCCATAAAACAGATGACACTGGTCGAAGTCCGCTTAAATCTATTGACTTACTTTATCTTTTTTTTTTTTTAACTGTGATGTTAAATTAAACACTAACAAAGGGAGATGAGAATATTTTTTATTTTTGGATTTATGTGCCTGCCAAATTATTTGAGAGCCAATTAGATAAAGCTGATCCTGCAGCTTTATGACGCTGAAACAGGGAATACTGCATTCTCCATATTACCAATGACATTTCCAAAATCAGGATTGAGTAAAAACTTTCTGCACCTATTTCCACATCTGGGTCTTGTATGACACCCACACATCTTTCTAAATAAAACATGAGTTTAGAGAATTTAATGTTCCATGTTTTGTTATTGTTTTTTGACAAAGATCTTTCAATCTATAGATATCAGAAATCATGACATCCTGTGAAACCCCGAGCTAATCTTACCTGACGTGTGCAGATCAGGTGATTTGGACATAAAACCACACCAGTCTGCAAATGAAATCAAAGGAATGTGAAAGGTTTTCTTCTTCTTCCTGACAGCAATCTCATGTAAATGTAATGGTGACCATTTTTATTATAAAATAATATGGGAATACTACTCTATCCTAGTCCTACATAGCTGAACCCATTTTAAACTTTCTTTTAACCCATTGAAAAAAAAGGAAATATGTTGATGGTGTCCTGTGATTTAAAAAAAAACTCTGACTTACCTATATAGCCAAAATGTTTGCATAAAAGAATCAGTAATGCAGAAACCACAAGACCCAGTACGGTGACCACAATCCAGACGGAGTAAAGTTGCCTCACGGAGCAAACTGAATAGAAGGAGACAGATAACAACAAAAAGAGTGAGGAACATTTGACTGGAAATGCTTGATAGAGGCATGGTGGTTAACAAGAGGGCTCCTGGGGCCTTTAAAGTATTAGCATGTTCTTCCAGTGTATGGGTACCCAAGCTACCTCTCGCAATCCAAAAAAGAAATCAATGTTATATTAATCAATGTCATTAATTGAATATTGAGGAGAGTCTAGGTGGGCATAGTTTGTTGCTCTTGTTTGTCATATGTGGACTGGAGTGGACTGGTGGCACCATCCATGGTTTACCATACCTATCCATCCATCCATGTTCTATTCCCAACTGGAGCCTATGCCAGCTGACCCGATGTATCCATTTTCACTTAATTCCTTTGCATGTTTGACAGCTTTAAGGACATTGCTGTTGCTGACAAACACCTTGCTGTCCCCTCTGGATTGCTTCCCTCCACAGTTGGTTAATGGCGTCTGTATTACATTCAGTCACGCTCTGACGTCACTTCCGTGTCGATCACAGTGCACTTCAGTCTGAGGCCTTAAGGCAGCACTACGGATCATTTTCAGCTTCCTAAGACCACTACTAAGTTTTTATGCCCACAGCTTGATCCTGAACAAGGGGTGTTTAACTGAAGGGAAGACAGAAGTCTCTAGGACAAGATGAGTCAATGCAAGTACTTAGACTGATTAAATCTGATTCCGTCTAGTGGAACAGCTGAAAACCTGTTGAAAGACAGAATAGCAGCAGAGGGATGGATGTGTTCAGATAAGTGGCCGAGGATAAGAATCTTAGAGCCACTAGAAATAAATGTAAACTGCAGACTGTTCTATTTATCAAATAAACAACTATATATACTATAAGCCCACAAGGAGAACACAAAAGACAGACACAACGTTAAACAGACCATGATGAACAGGTCAAACAAACAAAAACAGAATAGACTGTATGAGCATATTTCGGGGTTGAGCCGCTGTACCTGGGATGGGCATCTCTGTGACTTTAATCTGACCGGTCTGCACCTGGTGGACTCTGCAGGTTACTCTGTCACAAAAACACACAAGTGGCGTTTCTTAGTGACTACACGTGGGCTGCATTTGTTTGCCTACCTCAAACACAAATGGGCCTCTAAATCTGACTTCACGGTGTGATTGAACAGAAAGTAGACCTTTTGGTGGCTGCCTGCAAGGTCAGGTTCCTCCTAATGGTGATGCAGTCCTTGTTCTCCTGGACTCTTTGAGGCTTCCCGGCATTGTCCAAGATTCCTATGTCACCGTGTAGCTCGATCTCAGGCTCTGGGGACCAGCACTTGGCCTCACACTGAACGGTCACCCCGTCATCGGCGTAGGAGAGGACCTCCAGCTTTGGCTCAGACACAGCACCTGCAAAAAGACATGGCTCAACGTGTTGCTCGGGCTTTGCTTGTTTGTTATGCTGCTATCTGAGCTCTGTGAATGATCTAAACTGCTAAAGGTCTGAATTTATCCAAGGAATTTTTTAATGACATTTTTTATCAATCTGAATACAAATAATGTTTTTTTCTTCTCATAAGCCTGATACATTTTCAATAGTTTTTTCTTCATCAGTGTCCAGCCATGTGTACCTCTCATCAACAGTCAGCTGAACCTACATATGTAGTGATATTATGTACTCCTCTGCAGTGTATCGCCTTTGTGTGATACCAACTATATGATTTATTCGTAATCAAGCTTAGCCTTGGTTTCAGTGGGTCCGTCTTCTGCTTTGGAGTTGGATCTTTTCTTCCTGCTACAATTAGCCACTCTGTTTTACCACTCTGTCAAATTGAATTCAAATTGTCAAGTGCTCCGATCGCCTTCCCCATTAACTTTTTAGGCCACCCGGTCCGATCATTGTTCTTTAAAACTCTCTTCAACTCAGTCGTTCTCACCTCAGGACGTCTTTCACAGAACATGTCTGCGTATCTGCTTCTTTTCCTGAATCCAGAGGAGTCTCATAAATGGTTTCTGCTGCCTTCGAGTTTGTTGATTTGAAAACAAAAGCAGGACACGTTGCAGCCAGATTCAGTGACCCAGACAAATGTTCCATCCTGTCCTGTGGTCACACTCTCCACATCAATCATGAACGTCAGCCACCACAGGTCCCGCATTACCAAACACAGAAGACCCTCCCGCTCTTGCTATTACATCAACTTTTAGCTGTTTTTTAAGTGTGATTCTCAAGAGCTGGCTCTTATTTAACCTGCTTTTTGCTATAGCTGCTATAGGCCTAGACTGCCGGGGGATGCATCATGATGCACCGAGCTCCCCTTTCCTTTCTCTCTCTCCCTCCCGGTGCAACCTCATTCCATTAACAATGTTACTAACTGGACTCTCTCCCTTCCCCGTAGTCGTGTGCTTTCTCGTCCCCCTTCTCTCTTCTCTCTCTTCCTAACATTTTCTGCAGATATTCCTGGCTCTGGAGCTGTGGGGTCTGGATCTGTGGTTGGGAGTCTCCTCCTATCAATTCCTGCAGGTGTTCCTAGAGCTGTGGAGTCTGGATCTGTGGTTGGGAGTTTCCTGCTGCCCCCATGTTCCTGCTCATCATTAGCATTAATATCATTGCCATTTTTAATCTATGTGTTGCTAATCTACGTGTTGCTGTGTTGGCTGCCTCTCTCTGCTCCTTCTGTCCTTCTCTCTCTATCTCGTCCTCTCTCTCTCTCTCTCTTGCTCTCTCTTTCCCCTCACCCCCAACAGGCCGCCCACCCTGAGCCATGGTTCTGCTCAAGGTTTCTGCCTGTTAAAAGGAAGTTTTTCCTTGCCTGTGTCGCCTAGTGCTTGCTCATGGTGGGAATTGTTGGGTTTCTGTAGTTAACTTCAGAGTATGTCTGACCTTCTCTGTTTGGAAAGCGCTGTGAGACAACTGTTGTTGTGATGTGGCGCTATATAAATAAAATTGAATTGAATTGAATTGTTGTTGAGGTTAAAACGGGTGACTCTCACTTTGAAATTAAGTGGCTGGAAAAATGCTGAAGAAGCCGAGGAGCTTTGCTAATAGAGGGTTGCTGCCCTGGAAAATCCTTATGAGCCCAGTCTAACTCCACTAATGATGTTATATCTCCATCAAAGCTTGAACGAACACGTAAAATAAAAAAAATAAAAAAAACCCGGGGACTCGAACCCACAAACCCTCTTGCTGTGAGGAGATGGTGCCAACCATCACTACACCGCAGCCCACTTTCACATCCTTTGTCGCAATTTCAACAAAATCAAAAATCCCCTCTCTGGGTGGATGAGCGAAAAACTCAGAAGACACTGCCTCTGACACACACACACACACCCAGTCATGAACTCATCCCATCTCGGTACTAAAATTAAATGAGAAACATTATTACACATTATTTGATACGAAGCGTGTTTAAGTTAGGGCCGCAGCAAGTTATTAAATGGCCCTAGAGGATTTTCATAACGATCATAATTGGAAGAATTAATAGTTCATTTGAATCTTTTTGAATCTTCAGGAATTCTCGACCGCACTCCCTTGTGGGTTTATATATGAGAAATGGATGGCGCTTATACAGCGTTTTTCTCATCTAACTGGCCACTTTTGCACTTCACTGTCAACAGCAAGCCGCTTACGCATAGAGTTCAACACAATTAGTTACATTTTCAGAAATTATCTATCCATCCATCCATTCATTTCCACGCCTGGGTAACAAGGCCTGTTACTTCATAAGCAACTGGCACAAAAACAGAAAGTTCCTATTATGAGACAAGAAATCCTGCATCTCATGCTTCATATCAAGAAAATAAACTATGGAATTACCAAAATGGCCTAATAAAGAGGTCAGTGGGTGCTTCCCTCTGTTTCTGCTACACAAAGTGGACATTTCTACGGAAATGTGTGGGACTGCTGTGGAGGGGACGTACCAACGACAAGTTTCAGGGTCTCCACGACGCGCCTCCCCGGCAGGATCCTGCACAGGTACGTGCCCCCGTCGGACAGCCTCAGGTCGGAGATCCTCAGCGAGATGTTGCCGTCCTTCAGCTCGCTCAGGATGAGATGCGTTCGGTACCGGAAGTCCTCGCTCTTCATCTCGAAGGTCTCGCAGCCGTCCCGGTAGAGGAGGACGACCTCCGGGGTCGGCGCCTGCCTGGACCACTCCACGTCCGGCACCTCGCTGCCCAGAGCCGTGCTGCAGGGCAGGATGACCGTCCCGCCCCGGCGGGCGGTGACCTGCTTCCCCGCGCCAGCTGAGTCACAGGCAGGAGGGAGGGAAAGAAAAAGAAAGGGGGAAAAAATGAAGGCTGTTGTTGGAGTGATTTAGACATTTTTCGGCACGTCTAGCGTTAAAACAATGGATCTATCTTAAAAAAGGGGACAGCTAATCCCAAAGAGTAGCCAAGCTGCTGGTTGGAGATGCTGACTCTTAAAGAACACCTTGTTTTTGAACCTTCAATTCTTATGGATCGTCTCCAACATAACTCTCTTAACTAAGATGACGTGAATTTGGAATTATTAGTAAGGTTTGAAGCCTTATTGTTTAGTCATTGGGTTGTAATAGAGTCTTTAGTTGGCTTCAGGTAAACGCATGGTCAGATAGCCGCCAATGTTTGTTTTGTTTGTTTAGTCTTTTTTGTGTTAAACCCAGGCAGACGGTGCCGATGAAACGTCCACAGTAATAGATCAGGGATCAGAAATGAGCTCTTTCCGTTTTGACGATGCCCTGGTAAAATTATTCTTATCTGATTTTATCTTGTGTTGTCTGGATACACATGTCTGAATGTAGCAACCATTAATAAACATTGCCATGGCAAAATGCTCTTAAGATATTTTGCGTCAAGAAGAGTCTCCAAGACACGAGAGTCTTACTAATACAAATCTAACGTAAAACTATAACTATGCCAATAATAACACAGAAAATAAGCCATGAGTTCTAAATCTAGAATTTACCTAAACACTAGGCATAGCAGCACTTAGAATATGAGCAGGGTAGGCCGTGGGATTAATCATGAAGGATCAGTATGACAAGACAACCGTCTCTGAATATAGTATAGCACCAGTCATCTTAATGGGTTTACTACAGTGTTTGTGGTTTTTGGCACTCATTTCAAGAACTGAGGAGGAACCTGCCCTGCCTGAAACACATCTCACTACACATCAGAGCAGCATCGGTTTCATTCATAAACCATACCGGTCCACTAAAACGCGCTGAGCTATTTAAATCTACATAAACAATGTGGGTATTTGATCCGACATGTAGTAAACGAGCCACATTTCTGCTGAGCCTTTTTACCGGAAGAGTTTAAAATATATCCGGTTTTTTTCTTAATCTAAAAACTGTTTTTCTCCATCTCTAAATACTGAAAACAAATATTCTCACGAGGAAAAAAAGGTCCGAACCAATGTGTTGCTTTCGATATTTTTTGTATTATCAAGCAAACGCCTTCAGGTGTTTTCCAAACTCGGTGTGTTATTCTACCATAAAAGGCTGCACGCACGCGCGTGTTCCACCGCTGACCAATCAAATCTCTTCTGGGATCTGAATGGAATATTCCGCTTGAAGAAAAAAAGAAATCACTAGAAGCAATTAGACTTGAACACATTCCCACACAGTGGGAATTCAAAGGAAAGATATTTTTTCATTATAAAGGATTGGGGAGCTCTTTGTACAAGTTGCACATTTGCACATTTAGACTTTGTTATTGACAGTTAGCTTAGCTTTGGCTAGAGGGTATTTATAGAGGTGCTACTATGTAAACCCGTAATAAAAAAGTTAGGATTAAAATATATCTTTTGTGATATTATTGGCATTTAAAGCAACATTTTAACGTTGTGAATTTGCATATGGAGCAGTCAACGGTTTTTGACAGTTCGGAGCTCAGTTTTCCTTAAAAAACCTGAACATTTCCGAATGATCCGCAAAGAGGAGCGCAGCGATAGTAACCTGCTGCGTTCAAAGACGTTTGCAGGCAGGGCACACACTTTTCAGGATGTTGAGGGAGAAAAAAACACAATTTTCTCTGAAACACTGAAATCAATTAGATTACAAAGCAAAAACCATTGCTATATGTTCCCCGTCACTCTTAATCCTGTAATGCTAGACCCAAGTAATAATGGATAGAAAGTGTTTTTCGTCAGAGATATTTGTTTGACAAAAAATAAAAAGATTGTAATAAAAAAAAAACATCTTAAATGCATACATACGTGTTTTTAAGTCAGGGAAAAAATGTCTATTCAAAAGTGGACTCTGCAGCTATGTGCAAACAAGACCACAAAAAATAAGAATAACAGATCAGCCATAGAATGGTGGAAGATGAGGAAGGGTCTGTGGAAACCACCTGCAGAACGATTGGTTCCCTTTGCACAACATCTTTAGAAAGAGATCCACAATCTGTGTTATTTCCTAAACTGCCCACGTGTGCTGCTGACTTTGAGATACTTGGCAATAATTATGAGTTGCTTCCCCCCCCCTTTGTTCTAGAATGTTCTCGCTGTTTTATTAAAAATGTAGACAAAAGCCATTCGATGTGAACAGCTTTATTATGGCTGTTTGTTTTGTAGCCTATACAGGGGTAACTAAGCAGCCATTAAACACAATCAAATTTTAAATGTTTTAAATAATACCTTTCTTGGATATCTTATTGGAGGCTGAACCTGCTCCTAGCTTTAGGGTTATAGCTCAGGGAAGACATTTAAACTCAAGTGTAGCACTCCCGAATTCTTAATTCTGTTTTATGATTAATCGTCTGTTAACTTCATAACAAGTCCTTTCATGTTTCTTGTCCTGTTATATTGTAAATACTGATGACTACATGGTTGAAAGACAACAGTATAGCTAATCTGAATATTGTTTTCACTCTCTCGGATGATTCAGAAGAAAAAACGATCGCATTCCTGTGGTGACGAATAAGATTACACATGCAAAATCGTTGTTAAATCCAGGCATAACAATTTGCACCGCAAATCAGCGCACACCCACTTTTTTTTTCGCCACTGTGACTATTTACCTCTACTCCCATCTCACGTGAGCTTTCATGCTCTTTTTTTACTACAGTAGCCTACTCTAAAGCACTTTGTGGCTTTCCCCCCCCGTGAAAAGGTGCTCTATAAACAAGCTGAACTTCACGTAGGCTCAAGCGGAAGTGTCATATTTTGTAACCATTTAGGAATCAAACAATGGATGGAAGCCTTTTCTATCCGGACTGATTTGGAAGTAGCACTAGGTGGGCATGCTTTCGGAGCTGTGTGTGTGGGAGTTGTGTTGGAGTTGCGGTCGGAGCTGGGAGTTGTGAACGCAAAAGGTGGTCGGCGCTACGTGAAACCAGGAGACGCCGCAGAGCTACGGGCAGGGAGGAGGACAGCTCATCGGCGGTTGGCATAAGCTGGTTTGTGAATGGGTCAGAATGGCTACTCAGGAAGTAGAGGAAGATGGGGAAATGGATTATGGCGACTGGACTCCAGTGGCTAATAGGAGAGGAGGAATTGGGGTGAATAGAGCAGAAGGAGGGTGGATGACGAGTCAAGGAAGTAAAAGGAGTTTGGAAGAGAGCAGTTCTGATGAAGCTAGTGGGTTTGTGCGGAAAAAGGCTGGGAAAAAGGAAGTTAAAATCATCCTGAAATTTAGGAAAAAAGATGAGCATATCAGTTTAAGCCCTATAGCAGTGTCCAGGGAGTTAAAAAAGAAGCTTGGAGATGTGGAAATGGCCAGGATTTTGAGAGATGGAAGCCTGTTTATAGTGTGCAAAACGGAGGAACAGAAAAACAAAGCGTGGGAAGTTGAAAGTGTGTGTAAGAAAATAATTAGTGAGAGAAAGATTGTGGGTGAAAATAAAGTAACAAGGGGGGTGATAACAGGGATACCAGTGGAGGAAGACTTGGACAAACTTAAACGCAGTATAAATGGAGGTGAGGTGAGCAGAATTAAAAGACTTATGAGAACAGTAAATGATGAAAGAGTTGAGAGCTTGTCGCTTCTTCTGGAGTTTCAGGAGTCAGTGTTGCCAGAAAAAGTGAAAATAGGATGCATGATTTTTCCAGTTAGGCCATATATCCCCCCACCACTACGATGCTACAAATGCCAGAGATATGGACATATAGCAGTGGCTTGCAAAGGGAAACAGAGATGTCCTAAATGTGGAGATGAGCATAGGGTGGAGGATTGTAAGGAAAAGGTGCAGGATAAATGTTGCAATTGTGGTGGCCAACACAGGGTAACGTATGGAGGATGTGAAGTTAGGAAAAGGGCTGTAAAAATACAACAGGTTAAAACAGTTAACAACATAAGTTATGCAGAAGCAGTGAAGACAGTACAAGGACAAAAAGGAAGAGTGGAAACTGACAATGTTATACAGGTGTCGAGAAAAGAACCAGGTCAAACAGAGAAAGCAAATCCAGGACTGTCAGTGGATAAGATTATTTTGTTTATGGCATACGTGATCAACTGTACGGATCAAGTTAAACATAAAACTGAGAAAATTAAAATAATAGTTAAGGGAGCTGAGAAGTTTTTGGGCATAAAAGATATATCTTGGGAGCAAATTAAAACAAGACTTGAATCAGATGGGAAAGCAGGAGGAGCAAGTGATAAGGCAAACTGATTATTTTACAATGGAATGCAAGAAGCTTAATAGCAAATGGGCAGGAGTTTAAAGGATTTATTAGAGATTTAAAAAATAAACCAGATATCATATGTGTTCAAGAAACTTGGCTTAAATCAGAATTAGAATTTGTTATTAAAGGGTACGATAGTATTCGTAGAGATAGGGGGGAGGGTAGTGGAGGAGGATGTATAATATTTATTAAACAAGGAATGCAATATAGAGTTATAGGAAAAGGGAAAGAGTTAGAATATTTAATAACTGAAGTATGGACTAAAGAAGGAAATATTAAAGTTGTTAACTTTTATAATCCATGTAAAAAATTGTCTTTAGAGTTGCTAGAGGAACTAGTGGTACAGTTAGTAGGGAAGGTGATTTGGTGCGGGGATTTTAATGCACATAGCTCATTATGGAGTAACAGTAATGATGCTAATGGGATGGTGATTGAGGAGGTGATGGATATGACAAATTTAGTGTGTTTAAATGATGGAAGAGGAACAAGATTAAATATTAGAACGGGTACAGAAACAGCACTAGATCTCACATTAGTTTCAGATTCATTAGCAGGCATTTGCACATGGGAAGTAGTCAGAGGAACAACAGTAGGAAGTGACCATTATCCAATCATAACAGTAGTAGGATTGAATGTAGAAGAATATGAAACAGTAGGATTGCAGAAATGGTCATTTAGTAGTGCTGACTGGGATAAATTTAGAAATATTAGCGAACAAGAAATTGAAAAAATTGATAGAAATGAAGATGTTGAAAATTTAAATAATTTAATTTGTAAAGTTATTCTACAGGCTGCAGAAAAGTCAATAAAAAAGAAGGAAGGAAAGCGTAAAAATAAGATTGTTCCATGGTGGACAAAGGGATGTGAAAAAGCGATAAAATCTCGTAATAAAGCTTTTAAATTGGTAAAAAGAAATCATTGTTTTGAGAATTTTATTAATTATAAAAAATCTCAAGCAAATGTAAGGAGAATTATAAAAATTGCAAAGAAAGAATACTGGAGGAAGTTTTGTTGTTCAGTAGGAAGAGAGACAGAGATTGGTAAAGTTTGGGGTATGATAAAAAGAATGAATGGTATAAAACGAGAGTATGGATACCCAGTTTTAAAAGATGGACAAATAATAGCAGTGAGAGATGAGGAGAAGGCAGAGATGCTGGCTAAAACTTTTGTAAAAATTCACAGCTCAGATAATATTAGTGAAGAAGGAAAAAGAGGGAGAGAAAAAACTGTAAGGGAGAATGAAGAGTTACAACAAGAAGAAAATTATAATGATTTATTAAACAAACCTTTTACAATGACAGAACTAAAACGTGCTATCCAGAAATCTAAGACGTCAGCACCAGGAAAGGATCAAATTTGTTATGTAATGATAAATCAACTCAATGAAAAATCAAAGGAAGTATTACTAGAATTATATAATAAAGTATGGGAGGATGGGAAACTGCCACAGAGCTGGAAGGAGGCTGTGGTGGTGCCAATACGCAAACCAGGAAAAGATACTACTAATCCAGGAAATTATAGACCAATTGCTTTAACATCTAACATATGTAAGATAATGGAGAAAATGATAAATGAAAGGCTAACATATTATATGGAAAAGAAAGGATATATAGCTAAATACCAAAGTGGTTTTAGGAAAGGGAGAAATACAATGGATCCAGCTGTATGTTTAGAACATGAAATTAGAAAAGCACAGGTTAACAAAGAAAGTGTGGTGGCTGTCTTCTTTGACATAGAGAAGGCGTATGATATGATGTGGAGAGAAGGATTGTTAATTAGACTGGGTCAATTAGGAATTAAAGGACGAATATTTAGATGGATTAAGGATTTTTTACAAGGGAGATTAATACAAGTTAGAATAGGGAAGAATTATTCGAGGAAATATAGGGTAGAGAACGGAACACCTCAAGGGAGTATAGTGAGTCCTTTATTATTCTCTATATTAATTAATGATGTTTTCAAGGAAATAGGGAATGGGATGGGGTTTTCTCTTTTTGCGGATGATGGGGCAATTTGGAAGAGGGGGAAAAATTTGAAATTTATTATTAAAAAGTTACAGGATGCAATAACAGAAATAGAACAGTGGTCATATAAATGGGGTTTCAAATTCTCAGTAGATAAGACAAAGACAATGTTTTTTACAAAGAAAAGAATTAGTACAGAGATAAAACTAAAAATGTATAATCAAGAATTAGAAAGAGTAAAACACTTTAAGTTTTTGGGGTTATGGTTTGACGAGGGGATAACATGGAGTGTACATATACAGAAAATACAGGACAAATGTAGGAAGGTGTTAAATGTTATGAGATGTTTGGTGGGAAGTGATTGGGGAGCTGATAGAAAAGCATTGAAGGCCATTTACTGCGGATTAATTAGGTCAGTATTGGATTATGGTTGTGTGGTGTATGGATCTGCATCGAGTTCATCTTTAAAAAAGTTAGACAACATCCAGTTTCAGGCTTTGAGATTATGTACAGGGGCATTTAAAACAACTCCAACAGCAGCACTCCAGGTGGAAATGGGAGAAATGCCATTAGAGCTGAGAAGAACTCAGTTGTCTTTAAATTATTGGGCTAATTTAAAAGGTCATAGCGATAATCATCCAGCACAAAGCACTTTAAAGTCTTGTTGGGAAATGGAGAAAAGGGAGAAAAATAGCTTTGGATGGACAGTTAAACAAAAAGCAACAGAGTTAGAATTAGTTGATTTAATTTTCAGTCCGACAGTACCAATGCCAGCAGTTCCACCTTGGATAGTACCTGAAGCAAAAGTAGATTTGAAATTATTAAAAAAGAAGAACAAAGATAGGGAGTTTATTTTGAATTCAGATACAATACAGAAATATATTAACAGTTATTATAGTTTCATTCAGATATACACAGATGCATCAAAAAGTTTAGTTAATAAGATAGGAGTATCAGTTATTGTTCCAGAGTTTAAAATTACAATAGGAAAGAGGATCAGTGATAACATATCAGTATACACAGGAGAAATGGTAGCAATTCTGTTGGCAGTACAATGGGTAGAGGAAATAAGACCAATGAGAGTAATAATTTGTTCAGATTCATCTTCATCATTAATCAGTTTACAGAGAAGTCATTCAGATAGTAGACCAGATATTTTAATAGAAATCCAACAAACATTGTTCAGAATTCAAATGATGGGAATTACAGTTATATTTTTGTGGGTACCAGCACATATGGGAATAAAAGGAAATGAAAAGGCAGATAAGGTTGCAAAGGAGGCTACAATTAGAGAAAACATTGATATCTCAATTAAAGTTAGTAAGATGGAAGTAAAGAGCATTATTAAACAGAAGATGAAGGAAAGGTGGCAAAAGCAATGGGAGGAAGAGAGGAAAGGACGGTGGCTGTACATGATTCAGAGGAGAGTGGGAGAAATGAGTTGTGCAGGGAGGAGCAGAAGGGAAGAAACAATCATATCAAGACTTAGATTTGGGCACACTGGATTAAATGGAACATTATTCAAAATAGGGAAGCATAACACTGGAAGATGTGAGTATTGTGGGGAACAAGAAACAGTTGAGCATATTATGATATACTGTAAGAAATATGAAGAAGAAAGAAGGGAAATGGTTAAAAATTTAAAAAGGAAAATAATAAAATTTGATTTAATAGAAATGCTTAGAAGTAATTCAAGAGATGAGTGTTATGGGATTATGTTCCATTATCTTAGACTAAGTAATTTAATTGATAGGATTTAATTTTTATTTTATTTATTTATTTATTTATTTTTTATTTTTTTTTATTTATTTTTTTTTTTATTTTTATTTTTTTTGGGTGTTTGTTTTATTTTGGTAGGTTGGTTTAATTTATTTTAGGTAGTATAAGTCATTCTGATCCACACTCCAAACCAGTTGGTGGCGGTAATGCACCGTTTCGTTGCGTGCCAACCGCCAGAAAAAACCATAAAGAAGAAGAATCAAACAATGGAGGCACAACTATGGAGCTCTGGCAGGCTCGGCCGTGCCCGTTTGACGTGGCCTCCCAGCATTATCACGACCCAAATATACGAGAGGGGGAGACTGCTGCACAATATGAATAATAAAATTCACAAAACGCCGTGTTCTGTTCTTTTAAATGTCGCACAGTTTTACAGGTTCAAAGGCTTTAGCAGGAGACTTCCGCCATGTTTAAAGCTAATTTCGGAAGCCTGTTTCCTCAAAGTTAAGAAAGTTCTGAAGTCCTGGCGTAAATAAGGGTTTTAATATAAATGTCTTTGTTTTTGGTCGGTATCTTATAATTGACTTGACTTTTTATCGTAGTTAAAAAACACTTTTCGTCATCGTTCGTGGAAACAAACTTCGTTGACACTAACCTGTTTCCGCATTTCATACACGTTCATTTCGGCTCCGCGAGACGAATTACTATCTTTTTTTTTTTTTAAGCCCAAAACATGAAACCTACCGGTGCCGAACGACAAGACGGCGGCGAGGAGAAACAGGCAGCTGTGTAGCTCGAAGCGGCGGTGGGGCGACATGGCAGGCAGGCAGGCTCGAAGAAGACTGATTAAAAAAAAAGGGAAACAGGGATAGGAAATGATAACAGGACGATTACACTGCCGCAATCTTCGTTCTTCACTCTCACTTTAGCCTCCCACCCAGTGTCTGCTCCTGACCAATGCCCCGCCTCCACCCGCCTTCCCAGAAAAAAATTCAGAACACACGCCGGTCGGCATGGTCAGGAACTGCAACCGGGCGCTCTACTCACAACCCTCAACTCTCCCTGTTTTCATCGGAAAAACAAACAAACATGGTTCTCCGTTTGGTCTGCCTCGTTGTCCTCGTGAAGCTCGCGTCCAGCGGTTATCTGGAAGCGACCGAGAGAGAGTCGGTGGACTTTGGGCCAACTCCCGGCTGCGAGGTGGGAGAGGACGCCAGACTTGTGCACGCGGGGCTGGGGACGGTGGTCGCCTCCCGGCTCCCGGACGGCGTCTGGGAACCGGACCCGCTGTACGCGGACAGGATGGACGGCGGCCCGGTGGGTCCCGTCCTGCGCGAGGCCAACGTCAACGACGAGGGCGTCTACGAGTTAACCTGTAACGGGCAGTGGAAGGAGGTGGTGTTGGAGCTTAAGGTCACCCCGCTCATCGATTTGGAGCTCGTGGAAGAAGGAAGGCCGGCCACGCTCCCGTGTCGGTCCGTCACCGCCGGCCTCCCCGACGCGTTCCCGCTCTGGCTGAGAAACGCCCCCCCGCCTATAGCCATTGATAACAAGTGTCATCTCTTCACTTTGTAGCCGCAGACGTGCCCTCAGTGGACCCAGACCTGCTGGGCCCTGACCGGGGGGGCTTTGGGGGTTCTGGGGGTCCTGTTTGTCTGTGGTTTGCTGCTGTGGAAGCTCCGCATCAGGGGTCAGGGAGTGCATCGTGGTCCAGATCCTGCACTGCAGCGGATGAAAAACGGCCACGCAAACAAGGAGGAAATTCCTTTATCATAACCAATATTGCCCCCCCCCCCTTGAAAGTTGCTGAATTCTAGGAATTTCCCATTCAAATGCTTGGACCTGTAATTGGGCGATAGTTGCTCACTTTAACATTGTATGCTATGACCTAATCCATGTAAATGACAGATTGTCTAATTTCTTTTGGAACTCTGCTCTTGTATTAAACACTTCTAGTCTTCAAGGTCAACATCCACACTCGCACACACACTTTCTCATCACATTCTACTGAAATCTGCAGGAACTAGGAGCCGTTCTTGTCAGAGCTAACTGGCCAATAACACCCGGTTGAGTCCGGCCGTCTTCCTGTACTGGGCAGGCCCAGAAGAAAAATTGTCCCTCACACCCGGAGATTGTGAGATTTACTTTATTTGTACTCTACAATAAAATTATTTAAACAAATCTGATACTTACTCATGACCTTCATCAAAAGTCGGACAAATTTTGGAGGATCTGGGCCCCACTGCAATCCTTTTTACAGAGGCTGTAAAAAAATTTTTTATTTTATTTGTATCTTTTTTTTTTCTCAATATATTCAATATATCACTCATTTGACTGTCTGACAGTTGTGACTATTTTGAATCATGACTGCTGTATTTTGTGTATGTGGGCTGTATGTATGTATGTTTTTTTTTTTTTTATGTGGACTTTGCAGTGCTCCGTGTTGTTTTGGGGTGGGTTGTCTTTGTTTAATTTTGTTGTTTATATAAAGTTATGAAAATCAATAAAAAAATGATTAAAAAAAAAAATCTGATATGCGAACTGATTTTTTCCCCCATCATTAAGCTTATGTACAGATATATTTTTTGGTCACCAAGTGTAGGCGTAAAGCGTTTTGTAAACGGGAGCCACAGGTTCTCCTGCATCTGGATTTAACTGAAGCTGTCGGTCTTTTACCGTGCAGAAAGAGGGGAACATGGACTTTATGAGCAAAAGGTAAGACAGCAATTGTTTTTTTTTGTTATTTTGAATGAAATGTGCCCTTTGTGGGCTACAGTTTGTACGTGACCTGTAGCTACGGCAGAAAAGACACCAACAAGAAGTGAGTCACATCTTGACCAAAGATTCGAGAGTGTTACTTTTATTTATGTTTAACACTTAAGGAGGAATTACTTTAATTAATTAATTTACATGGAAAAAAACAACAATAAAAGGACGATATGATAAAAAGAATATACAACATGAGTAAAAACCGTTGATCTGGAGTCGTGACCTACCAGCAAAACACTTGGCGCCTATGTGGAGACACACAAAAGTTCACCGGGGAACGAACGTACAGGACTTCTGATAAATAAGAAATCGTTAAAAAGGGAGGACACACACAGACGGAGCTTGTAACAGAATGCGGGGGCAAAAGTGTCGAACGGATAAGGTCATGATTTCTACACCAGTCACCGGTTTCAAAAAGGAAGTTTCAGAGGGTACTTGAAAAGTAAAAAAAAAAAAAAAGAAATAGATGGAAATATTCAGTCCTGTAAATTCCATCGACTCTTCCAAACCAGCAAACCTTTCCTGTGACGCTGAGAAGAAAATGGCGGCCCCCGGGGTTCAGACTCTTGTTCAATACGAATAAAGCGGCGAGAGCGGAGCTTCGTGGGTTACTTTTTTTTTTTCTTTTTTCCTCTTTTTCAAACCTCCACCCTCCTCGTCCTCCTCCTCCTCCTCCCTCAGTGCACCAGCTCCAGCTGGCTGGTGGAGAAGGGCAGCACCCCGCTGACGTAGTAGGCGATGCCCAGGGACAGGAGGGCGATGACCACCAGCAGCAGCAGCACCCGCCAGAAGCCCAGGTCCTCCACGAACTCCTGCCACGTGGTGCGGAAGCTGGACAGCACGCCCTCGCTGCTCTGCAGGTTGGGGTTGAGTAGGGAGTGGCTTTCCATCGCACTGGCAGGGACGGGGGACATAGCGGAGGAGGGGGGGGGGGGTTGTTATTGGTACCTGTGTTCGTATGCGTCACCTTTGATCAGCTCAGAGCTGTCGTGCTTCGCAGGAAAAACAGCAGGAGAAGAAGAAACCGCTACGTTTAATTGAAATCTAAGTGACCCCCTCCACACAATTTGGCATGTCATTTTGGTGCTGATACTCCAGATAATGACCAGGAGGGGCCTCAGAGCGAACCCGACCATGTGACCCCACCCACGACGCAGTCACATGACCGAATGAGCTCCGACCTGGTGTCCACTTTGAGCCACCGCTCCAGTTCTCCCTTCTAATGAAAGGTTTGGGCACGAAACACGATTTTGAGCCACCGTAGAAGAGAACACCAAATAAGTCTTAAACCTAAACAGTCATAAGTGGAGAGGAGAAAGTTTAATTAAATGCAAATAGGCTGGAAAAATGGTCTTAAAAAGATTTAAAAAGGGCGCTAAAAAATCTTCCTTCTGTCTGTTTTCCACCTACTGAGAGACAGCCATCGCACACACGGGGCTTTTAGGGCATTCATATGTATCATTTTTTTAAATATATACAATGTATACACACACTGCCACACCTCCAGGCCCCGCTCACCTCTCGCTGTCCGCCATCTGCATGGTCTCCAGCTTGGAGTGGGCTCCCCGGTTGAAGCCCTTGACCTCCTGCTCCTCCAGGCCCTCCAGCAGACGGATGGCGTCCTTGTTCACGCCGCGCCGCTTGGCCAGCACCAGCGGAGTGGAGCCGTTGTGGTTACTGCCAAGCAGCAGAAATGGACGGTCAAAAGCTTTGAAAGTCTACGTTTCTACGTCTGAAAGAAGAACCAAGCGAAAAAATAGGAGACAGGTGGGGCGGCATTCAGACCCATACGGTAGGTCCAGCCAGGAAAAGCTGTGAGCTGTAACACATCTGTAATGTGTCCCTAAAAATGTACCGTACATATTTGTCTTGTTCACATTATTATTGTTGATAATTAAACACTGTGGGCTGTGGAATGGCAGACTGGCCTCGGCTGTTTGCACGGTCAGTGAAACCACTGCTAAGTTAAATACACAAACTTTTATGTTTTGTTGTTTCAATAGACCAAATCAAAAGAAAGACTACAATCGGTACCATTCATCCGTGTCTGAGGAGGAGCGGTTCTGGTTTATGGCTTTTGTCGCAAGAAGATCTTCACGCGTTGTTTGAACATAAAATAGAAACCACTGAAGCATGTTCACCGAACAGCCACATCCTAAACCACGTTTCCCTTCAGTTTCCGACTTACTGTGTTATTTCACCATCCTTCAAAAGACCCAAAAAGGGTTAATACAAGGCTTGAAATTTTTGTAATTTTTGTAATAAAATAGATGATTGGAAGGCAAATATCTACTTTTAAGGAGCACTGTTTCTCCAAAATCAAACAAAAGTTGAGTTGACATTGGACAAATAAAAAATAAGTCAAATAAAACCATGCGAGTTAAAAGAGTTGCGTCTTTGACCAGTAAGCGACAGCATCATCAGCTGTGGGACACCTTAAAGGACCACAGGGGGTATCTGACCTTTGCTCAGCTCTTCTCAGCTCTTCTAGGTATGCCAGGCTTTAATCCAATGACTCTTTTTTTTTAAACTCCAATTCTCTTTACTGAATTTGGTCATTTTTAGTCTTAACTTGCGGCTCTGGACATCTGAATGAAAAGAATATATATATATATCCTGGCACATGGAGCAAAGTCAAACACTTTTAGCTGTTTGGATAAACCACAAACCTCCTACGTAAACCCTCTGGCATCAAATCCTGGTGGAATGTTTTTTTCTGGAGTACCTGAGCTGTTAGAGCCATTCCTCTTACCATAGTAGTGAGTGTCCCCATGATATATAGATATATTATCTCTTCTTTGGGTAGATACAGATCTTTGTATATTCTACTTTGTAAGTCGCTTTAGATAAAAGTGTCTGCTGAATGCATAAACATTCCTGTTGTGACGGTTTGGGAGGTTTTGGACCCCATTTCTCGGCTTTATCGGGGTCTTATCAGGGGTTAAAAATATTTGGTTGTGGGTCCATCTGTCGCCGCTTGGTAGTTTGATTTCTATATGACGGTAGAGCAAAATCGTGCCAAGCACGAGCACAAAGATGAAGATATCAAACTATCAAGCGGCGACAGATGCGCCCACCACCAAAGATTTTACACCCTGATAAGTTTTTGATGTTTTGTCTCCTGTTGGGTGGGATGATAAGTCTGTGAGCAGCAGATCCACGAAAAAAACTCCATCAAAATTTAACCAAGACAGGCCTCCTAAATCTTCAGCAAGCACTCCTCTGGGTGTGGCGTGGTACTGGTTGGCAATATCTGAACTGCGTCTACCTTATTTGAAGACATCCTCCACTAACTGTTAAACCACATTCTCAACATTCAACATGACGTACTTGCATTTCCACACACACAAGTCAAAGGAGGACGGCAAACCAAACGGTAAAAAGCAAGTAAACTAGATAAACTTTGAAGGTAAATCTCCAACACCTCCGCTCTGAGTGCATTCTTGGCCCCGCCCCTTAAAGGGCCGGCAGGACAGTTAGTTTTCGGCAACCTTTTTCACAGTAAGACTGCCAAATTAAAAATATTAAAAGAATAGGACTGGGAATCAAAATGAGTAGAGGGGGACGGCCGCCAGCCCGGGCCTGATGTCCTTACCAGATGTCGATCTTCAGCCCGTTGGACACCAGAAACTGGATAGTGTCCACGTGGCCGCACAGGTGCAGCGCCGTGTTGCCCTGGTAGTCGGTGGCCAGCAGGTCGGCCCCGAACTTGTGCAGCAGGCGGCAGATGTCCACGTTCCCACGGGCGGCGGCCAGGTGGAGGCCCGTGCGGCCCCGGTTGTCCCGGATGTTGGGGTCGCATCCCGTCTCCAGGAGCCTCTTGGCGAAGGGCAGGTCGCCGTCTATGCAGGACTGCAGCAGAGGCACGCTGGTCTGCGACGAGTCGTTGATGAAGACATAGGACATGTCCGAGTGGGTGTCAGAAAATTCCAGCGTACCTGTCGACGGACACATTTTTAAAGTTTTATTTTTAAAACATCAACGGTCATTCAGCAGCTTGAAAAACAGCGTGAAGAAAGAGGGGTGGCTCTAAGCATGGAGGTGGCAGTGTCATGGAGGGGGCATGTCTGGCTTTGTCTTTAAACGGTGAATTCTGATGTGTTAAGAACATCCCATCTGCTCCACTAAAACCCTCCAAACTAATTGGATAAACTAGATGGGTGTTTCAATTACTATCAATGATCCCAAGCTACCAGCAGTGATTCGGAGATTTCTCACAAAATTTGCTTTTTTTATTTTTTCCTCAAGACGTCAGGGAGCTTAAATTCTTGAGATTTGAATGAAGCACGTGTTCCGTGTCAGGCATATTATTGCAAATACTTATGTCAAACAAGCAACAATTTTAAAAGAAAATTTAGTAAAATAATCACAAAAAAGTACAAAAAAACTCCTTTTCCATGAGTGTACTGGTAAAAACAGTTAAATCCAACTGAGCCTGTTTTCTAGAAGTTTAAATAGAGGCTTTACCCTGAGAAGACGCTAAGAAGGTGATTTCAAACACTACCTCTGTGCCAAAGGAGCTGCAAGATACTAAACTTGACTATCTATGAATCATAAAAATATAGTGTTTGGCTCCCCATTTATGTGCACTGTGTGATAGCTACATAGGTTATTGTTTATTCATTTATTGTTTATTTATTTGGATCCCCATTAGCTGTCAGTAATTTGACAGCTACTCTTCCTGGGGTCCTTTTAAAATTATACAGATACACAAAAAATATCAAATGATCACATCATAAGAACAACTATACATTTCAAATTATTTCACCTTACATTACAATCTGTTACACAAATATTCATAAATTAAGGCTTTCAAGGCTAAATATTTTTTTTAGAAGTGTTTTAAATGCACCTTTCGTAGTAGCAGTCAAGATGTTATGAGGCAGTTTGTTCCACAGAGTCACAGCTCTGAACAGCACAGACCTGCACACTGCTTCTGTTCTCGGAATGGGTCGAGTCAAATGACCAGAAGCTGCCTGCCTGGTTGAATAATTGTGCTAATTTCTCACATAATGTAACAAGCTGAACAAAAGAGAAGGTTTTCCACAAACAATAATATTCCTCAGGAAACACAAAACATTACATTTCAATCTCTCCTCTACTCTTAGCCACGACAGATGCACATGCAGCTCAGCAGAGCTCTGAGTCCACACACAGGGCAGTCCCAGTGCCAGCCTGGCCGCTCTGTTCTGTGCGGTTTGTAGTTTAGCCAGATGTTTCTGAGCTGCACCTGACCACACCACAGAGCAGGAGTCCAGGTGAGACAGCACTAACGATTTAATCACCAAAATTCTAGAGGCTGAGGTCATGAAAGATCTAAATCTTTTAATACAAGACATATTTCTTCCCATATTTTTCAACACCGTATCTACATGTTTTTCCCAGGATAGCTGCTAATCAAATGTTACTCCAAGGAGTTTCACCTCTTGAACCTGTTCTATGTCCATATCCTTTAGCACAATATCAAGTTTATCATCACATTTTTTATGCCTAGCTTTAAATAACATACACTTTGTCTTTGAAACATTCAAGTTTAGTCTGTTCTCAGTAATCCAGGCAAGAAGCACCTGCAAATCCAACTGCAGTGTTTCTTTTAACTCTGATATCTTTGTTGCTGCAAAATAAAGTGTAGAATCATCTGCATAAAGAGTTATGTTGCACCTTTTTTTTTTTTTTATATATATATTTATTGGGTTTTCAGAATATAACAAACATAAATCATACATGAGAGTATAAGTAAATATGTATGCACATATACACGCAGACTTACATATCCATGTATATAAGGTGTGTAACAAAATCCTGTATGAAAGCAGTATACTCTTATCAATCCAGTAACAAAAATAGAAATGTACAATAAGAAAAAGAAAAAATAATAAAAAAATAAAATAAATAAATAAAAAATAAAAAAAACAAAGAAACAAAAACAAATATTACAACAGCAAGTCAGGTTACACAGTACTATCTATAATTAAAGAATGGTGTTACCTGTCTATAAGGGCACAGGTGGCACATTAAGACGCTGAGCGAGTATCTGTGTCGACCCTGGATCGGGAAAGATAATCCAAAACTGGCTGCCAGATACTACAAAACCTATCAGAGGAACCCACAACATCATATCGTAGCCTCTCTAGATGAAGAATCTCAGTGAAGTCGCTCAACCACATTTTAAATTGAGGAACCTTATCAGTTTTCCAGAGTCTCAATATTACTTTTTTGGCTATTACCATTCCATACACCATTGTCATTTGCATGGAAACGCTACAGATCCTTAAAGAAGGAGAATGACCAAACAATGCAATCTGGGGGTCAGGAGCCAACGTGCGTCCATAAACCTTAGCAAACAAGTTGAAAATCTCACACCAATAATGGAAGAGCTTGGGGCATGTCCAGAACAAATGAGAAAGGGAGCCATCCGCGGACTTACATTTATCACATTTTGAAGATGTCGAAGGAAATATTCTGTGCAGTTTAACTTTAGAATAGTGGAGTCTATGGAATACCTTGAACTGAATTAACTGGTGTCTTACATTAATAGAGCACGTCCGAATCCTCCCAAGACCCTCCTCCCAGACCTCACTCCCAATCTGCAAACCCAGCTCCTCCTCCCATGCAGCCCTCAAGGAGTCTGTGGTAAAGTTAATTCGTTCTGCAAAGACGTCAACCAAACTCGTGATAAACTTTTTCGATCCTGGAGAGCCCAGTAGAATTTTGCATAATTTATTTTCTTCCGGGAGAGACATGAAATTCGGAATATTAGTTCGAACATAGTTTCTAATTTGCAAATATCTGAAAAAATCTGTATCTAAAAGGGAAAAGCGGCTCTTCAGCATAGCGAATGAAGCAAACGTTTTGTTAATGTACAGGTTTTTCAGAGTATTTAGGCCTTTTAAACTCCAGTTTTTAAAGGACATATCCGATAGTGATGGGGGAAAAGCATGGTTGCGGTAAACTGGGGCTTGAACTGAGGTCTCCGGCAGTTTACAGTGCAGTTTTATTTGCTTCCATATTTTCAAAGAGTTTAAAACGGTTAAATTATTTACCCCACTAATTGCGGGGGATATCGGTGCTGCAAAAAGAAGAGCCGGAAGAGAGCTGTCACTAACCCCACCTCTTTCAATAGCCACCCATGGGGGGCAATTTGCAGGCAGTTCTTGTGCATCACCTCCCTGCCAGTATACCAAGGCCCTCGCATTTGCTGCCCAATAGTAATGTTGAAAACAGGGTAATCCCAATCCCCCTATCTTCCTTGGTTTGTATAAGTGAATTTTTGAAATTCTATGTGCTTTAAAGCCCCAAACAAAAGGCAGAATTATTGAGTCCAACGATTTAAAAAAAGCCTTTGTTAAAAAAATAGGCAAACCCTGAAAAAGATATAAAAATTTAGGTAAGGACACTATTTTAATAGCATTTATACGGCCCATCATCGACAGAGGAAGTGTTCTCCATTTATCAATGTCTTTCCGAAGATTCTCCACTTTTTCCAAAAAATTCAATTTGAAGATTTGTTTAGGGTCCTTTGGCAGAATAACCCCAAGATATTTCAGTTTGTCCGTTATTTTAAATAATAGGTTATCTAAAAAGTCGGAAGTGAGGCTCGCACCTAATGACATAAACTCACTCTTCTGCCAGTTAATAGTATAACCTGAAATCTCACTGAATGACTGAATGAGGTCTAGGAGTGCTGGCACTGACCGCTCAGGATGTGATACGAAAACCACCACATCATCAGCATACAATGAAATGTGATGGTCCATGCCTCCCAATTGAATCGGTTTGATTAAGGGGTGTTCTCTAATACTAATGGCAAGGGGTTCCATAGCGACCGCGAAAAGCAAGGGGCTAAGAGGGCAGCCCTGACGGGTTCCCCTGTGTAGCAGAAAGCGCTCTGACTTTTCCTGATTTGTAATGACCGAGGCAGATGGATTAGCATACATTATTTTGATCCAAGACACAAATTTATCACCAAATCCAAACTCCCCAAGTACAGTCAGGATGTAGGGCCACTCCAGTTGGTCAAATGCTTTTTCAGCATCAAGGCAAAGAGCCGCTCCCTTAAACCTACTGTCATACTTATGATACATAATGTTAATTAACCGTCTGACATTAAAAAATGAGAACCTATTAGGAACGAAGCCCGTTTGGTCCGGGTGTACAATAGAGGAAATATGTTTATTTAGCCTGTTTGCCAATACTTTAGCGAAGATTTTAATGTCAGAATTCAATAATGAAATAGGGCGATATGATGAAAGCTCCGTCTCCTCCCGGCCTTCTTTACATATTAAAGTTATATTGGCTTCATACAAGGTGGGGGGAAATTTACCTGAATCAAGAGAGTGAGTGAACATCCTCCGAAGGAGAGGGGCGATTCTCCCGGCATATCTTTTATAGAGTTCAGTTCCAAACCCATCCGGTCCTGGGGTCTTGGCCTTAGGAAATGCTTTAATTACATCAAGGATCTCTTCCACAGTGATGTCTGCATTAAGAGCCTCACAAGCAACCTCACTCATCTTGGGGAGATTTAAATCTTTGAGCCAGTTTGAGATATTTCCTTTTGCCTTAGACATGTATAGTCGTTCATAATATTCCTTAAAGGAGTCATTTATATCTTTTGGATCAGTTATAATTTTTCCTGCCCTGGACTTAATTTTATGTATTGCCCTGTTGGCCTGCGAGCCCCGCAGTTGACGGGCCAATAATCTATGGGGCTTATCACTCAGCTCAAAGTGTTTCTGCTTAATTTTGAACAACTGATCAAGCACCTGTCTGGACAGGATGGTGTTATATTCATATTTTAGAGCGAAAATGTTTTGCAAAGTCATAGGGTCATTGGAGGACTTGTAGTTAGCTTCTAAGCGTGTTAATTCAGCCTCAATTCCTGTGAGGCGTTCTCGCCTTTTATTTTTCAAAAACTTTTCGAAGGAAATAATATGGCCTCTAGTAACAGCTTTAAAAGTTTCCCACAAAGTAGAATCTGTAACATCTTTTGTATCATTAGTGTCTAGGAATTCAGAAATTTTATCGTCTAGGAATTTACAAAATGTCTCCTCTGATAGCAAGGATTGGTGGAAGCGCCAGAAGTACTGTTGTTTCTTATGGTAGAGGTCGAGGGTCAGTGAGACTGGAGAGTGGTCCGAGATTAAAAGTGTATGATATTTTGAAGATATTACATTAGATATTAATTTAGAATCAAGAAGAAAATAATCTATTCTTGAATAGGATTTATGCATGTTTGAAAAGAAGGAATAATCCCTCTCCACCGGATGCTGCAGCCTCCAGACATCAACCAAATTTGTTGAGGTCATAAGGGTGTTCAAAACCGCTGAGGAGGAGGAGGGAGGCTGCCTCGTTCGAGTTGACCTATCCAGGTAGCTGTCAAGCACACAATTAAAATCCCCTCCCAAAATTAGGTGAGTATCAGCCAGGTCAGGTAGCATATTAAATACCTTCCTAAAGAAGCCTGGGTCCTCAAAATTAGGGCCATATATGTTAAGAAGCGTGACATGAAAGGAGTATAAATTGCCTGTTACCAATATAAATCTACCATTTGGGTCAGTCACAGTGGAAATATGTCTAAAAGGAACTGTTCTACGAATTAGAATTGCCACCCCTCGAGCTTTACCTGAAAAAGTGGACTGGAAAATTTGGTTTGCCCAACTGCATCTCAATAACCTCTCCCTGCCTGGTCTTATGTGTGTTTCTTGAAGGTATACGATGTCCGCTGATAATGACTTCAAGTGAGAAAATACTTTAGCCCTTTTTAGGACATGCCCCAAACCCCTGACATTCCAACTGGTAAAGTTTATGCCACCGCCCTGTAATGATGTGTTATGGTACACAGAAATTGTTCAACCGAATGGCCTCAAAGCACCCATGTGTTAGCCTGACAGTGTATTGCAGCATGTAAAATGACTTTTGAACAGCAATAAAAACAAACAGAAAAGTTGCCCCCCTCCCCCCATCCCACTTTCCCAAACAAAGTGAGAATAAGAACCCCACATAGCAAAATAGAGGAAGCCGGGCCGCATGGGCCATACAGATACTGAACTAACTCCGAAAAAAGAAAAAAGGCTCCTCTGACCACTCAAATTTAACAGACTTAGATTATGGTACAAACATCCAGCTGTTATAAAACCGATTCCGGCCCCCAAGGACACAAAACAATAAGCACATACCATAATGGCTCTAACCTCCAGATACTCAGTCACTCTGTAGGGTTTCTGCAAAGATCTTTGCATCCCGCGGCGAGGAGAACGTCTTATCCGTAGAACCAACGGTGACCCGCAAGCGCGCAGGATACAGGAAACCGCACCGCGCTCCAGCATCCCGGAGCCGCTTCTTCACTGCATCAAAAGCCTGCCGCTGCTTCATCACCTCTGCCGGATAATCAGGGAAAATGTAGATCGGCTTCTCCTTGAAACGGAGGGGGAACTGTTGACGGGCCAGCCGAAGAATCGTCTCCTTCACATGGAAGTAGTGGATCCGTGCTATCATCACTCGTGGCCGCGTGCCATCACCAGGCGGTCTGCTTCCCAGCCGATGCGCCCGGTCCACCTCCAGCTGAGTATGAAACTGATCCACACCAAGCAGCTCCGGGATGAACTTCATCAGGAAATCTCTGGGACGTCCACCCTCGATCTTTTCCGGCAACCCGATGATTTTAATATTCTGCCTCCTGGAGCGAGCTTCGAGATCGATCACCTTCACGCGGAGAGCCTCGTTCTCTGCTTGGATCCTAGCACAGGTCCCCTCCAGCTTGGAGAGGCGGCCCTCGTGGTTGGATGCAGCGTCCTCCACCTCTTTAATCCGGTCGACAAGGTTTAATACCGTTGCCTGGGTCGAGGCGAGAGTTGCTTCAAGATCGTTAAACCTATCGTTCATTATCTTATTCATGTTATTTATTGCCGCGAGGATAGTAGAGGATCCCGCATCACGTTCACCTGCTGAATCAGCGCCTGCCACACCTGTAGTTTGCTTAACTAGCTCCAGCACATGTTGCTCCGTCGCTTCTTCTGAAGCCTTATCTTGCTTTTTTCCTTTATCCGCCTTGGGCTTTGTCATCCTCAATGTCAAGACAGATAATCGAAGCACGGGGGAATCGGAATATGAATGGAAAATCAAAATAAATAAGAAATTACTTTTAGGTGGTGAGGAGCCCGACAAAAACACGTCTACTCCATGCGTTTCTCACTAGCGCCCCCCCCATGTTGCACCTTTTTAAGACAAATGGCATGTCATTAATAAATATCGAGAATAGAAATGGTCCTAGGCAACTGCCTTGTGGTAAGCTTTTCTTTTGCAAATAGATTAAAAAGAAAAAAAAAGATGGGTAATTAGTGCTCCACATCCCTAATTAGAGGCTGATCACTGTGTAATACATATTTTTGTGCTGGTTTAAGCTAACTTTATAGGGTTTTTTTCATGTTAATTGTGTACATAAGTGTTTCCTCTGGGCTCGGCCCTGTCAATACTGTACAGTTGTAAAATTTTATATACTTAAGTTAATGCCAATTTACGGGAGTCATAATCTTTTTGGTTGTTGTTGTTTTGTTTGTTTTTCTATTTATACCTGCTGTAAAACTTGAACTTCCCCTTTGTGATGGAATTGCTTATCTTGTTGAAGTAACCACTCGTATGTTTAAGCCCATAAAATGATCTGGCATCTCCTTTCTTGTGGCGTTTGCTCGTGACACCAAACAAACGCCATTTTCTTCCCAGGTTTAACCGTTATAAATCCACTCGGAAAGCCACTTTAACAGAGTCAGTGGCGTTATTTAGTTATTGTAGTTGCAGGTCTTCCAGGCAAATGCGTAGCTAACGCAACGCCGTTTCTTCTGTCGCTCGACAGCTTAATTCCGTTTGAAAAAAGCACCGAAAATACAAACAACCTGTACTATACAACTGTTACTACACTAAATCTCTTTAATAAAATCATACCATTATCAGGCAGCTGCTACGAACAACGTAGAAGCTGTCTGAGCTAGTTAGCTTGTAAGCTAACGCTTTGCGCTAAGCTAAAAGGTTTGACGCGACGCCTAGTTATTTCGAAGCGTAAACGTGAGGGGGGGGGGGAATTGTGCGTTTGGACTTTTAGTTTAGGGACGTGCAGCGGTGCAACTGACCTGTTAAGATGTTCCCAAACAGCAGAGAAAAAAAAAGCTCCGCCTTGCTTCCAGCTGTGGTTGCTAACTGTGTTGTTGTTGATGATGGGACTCTCCTCTGTTTGGTCTCCACATCTGCCGACGTTACAGCCTTTGTCTCCATCTATCGGTGCGGAGTTAGACCTTCTACTGGAGCTAGAACTCTTTTTTTACCCCTTTCCTTTTTTCTTTTTTTTTTTTAACAATGTATGTATCAATTTACCAAAATAAACTTTGGCATATAAAAGTTGTATTTCACAACTTTTATCTGGAGTAAAAAGGTTTGCCTCAGTTCTATCCATAAAGATTTAGGTCAACTTATCTGACATATAGAAGATATCTGAATAAAACAGTCTTCTATTAGATCATAAACCTAAGAGGACGGATATTTTCCATTATTATTTTTCGAATAGACCCAGTGTGCTCATTTGAATTTTAAATTGTTAAAATTTCCGTCCAACTTTCTATTAATTTGGCTGAAATTTCATTTCAGGCTTTGACTTATTCGAACTCTTCACACCTCGGTAAGAAGAAACACCAACTGAATTTCTTCCTCAGTTTTTAAACCTTTATTCAAAGTGTGTGAGCACAAAAAATACACATTACGGTAACAGACATGTTATTACAATCTCTTGTGATGAATCCTCTTTGAGGAAAGCTGCATCGCCTTTTGTTTGCAGCAGGCACTTACAGGATGTTGGCGGATAAGATATTTGGTTTTTGAACGTGGGGTCAAGTCCAAACAGGAAGAAAAAAACCTGTTGAATCGTCGGCACTGAATATGTTTTCCATATAAAACATCCTAAAGACAATCTTTTATTTTTTCTCCATAAAATCGAATGTACATATTATCGTCCCGTTCCCTCGCATCTCAGTAAATAAAACCAGAGGATAGTATCATGACTTAAGTGAAAATAATTACAGTCTAGATTACAAAACAACACGTACAGACAAAAAGGAAGAAATCAAAGCCAGGGAAAAACATTTTCAACAGAGAGAAGTGAAATGCTGTCGGCAGAGACCTGCTAGTGGTTACAAAGTCATGCAGTAGCTTTCTGTCCCAAGATATAGGAGACAGCTTGAGTCAGTTTAGCAGAGAATCTTAATCTCATCTCTGAATATGGCTGCAGATACATTTGAAAACACGGTTATCATCAAAAGAACAGCATAAAGACACAGAATCCATCACTCTAAGGAGCTAACAGTGTCGCAAAGCTTTGCTCTAAAACGTCTTTCTGGGAAATACAGTTACCTTCTATGTACATTTGCAATTCTAAATCTTAAAGAGAGTGTGTGCTCTGCTTGCCCATGTAGATTTAATGAAGAGTAAATGAAGAGTCATTTAAAAGAAAATACTAGTTTGGTCACAGCACGATGACAGCCCGTGCGAGCGGAGGTGGAAAAGAAGGCCCCTTCTCCGTCTTTTGCTTGTTGTTCGAACTCCTTTGAGTCCACATCAGTGCAGTATCAGTAAATCTTTTTCTGTTTTAAGACATTTGGAGACCGAATGCTGGTTTGCTTTCATGCCAACTACGAGGGAAACACAGCTCTGCCTTCTAAAAAAAAAAAAGAAGTTACAGGCATTTAAAAACATAAGTTTTAATTCATAGTGGAGTAAATGCTGCAGACTGTTGAGTATTTTGCTGATAAGTTGATAACTTCTGGTCTGTGGTAGCAAATGTTGGAAAATAATATATTGCGCTTTGCTGGTATATTTTGAGGGAAGAAATGGTGAAAAAATTATGAAAATAAATGATTTGTGGGTTGAAATGGGACCTTATTCCAGACATGCTCCAGTTGAGCTGCATTCAAAAACGCAAATGTTCACAGTGTGTCCACTAAAGGAATTACTCACTCTGAAAGAGTAACCGAAATAGCAACTTTATGCTTTTTATCGGCCTGACTTATTATTTTCCTGTTTTAATAGTTCTCAATTATCCTTTCTGATACTTTTCACATGATCTCTTTTTTAATTTAATAATGTTTTAAACTCTGATTCATCATTATTATCTTTGCCTTTTCTGCTGGTCTACAGTTTTGGCATTCGGTATGTTTATTGTAAGTAGTCCTATGGGGGTTGGTGGTGGGTGGTGTTAGGCGGGTATGGTGAGGTTGTGAGTGTGTTTGGGTGTGATTTGTAAAAAAAAAAAAAAAAAAAAAAAAAAGTAATTCTTATTGTTTTCCTCTTGTGCAGCACTTTTTGCCCACGTGAAATTTGTTAGAAAAAAACTTAAGTCTGCTTTATGGTGATATTTTCTAACATAAAAACCCGATGAAAAGGGGGCCCTTTCAGAACCACGGTGACCTTCACATGGAGAAATTAAGGCTAAAATCTACCACTGTTCAGACTTTAGGTTCCACCGATAAGCAGCTTTGCCGTCCGATCCGAGTCGAGCAGGCGTCCGGCCTTGTGTGTGTGTGTGTGTGGTTTTGTGTGTGTGTGTGCGAGCGGTGCAGAGCTTTCCAAACAGGTGGCACTCTCAGAGGTAGCCGAGAATGAGTCTCGCCCAAAGAGCCGTAACGAGAAGACAAGGTAGAATAAACACAGACATTAACAATAGCACCATTGTCAGTGATAATCTAGATGATCTGTTGCATTAACACCAGAACCGTTCTCCTTCTGATTCTCCTCCCCCTCCGTTTTCTTCCTTTAGTAAGCCACCGGTTCCCCTGTTGGGATTTGAAAAAACAAAAAAAAGAAAACAAAAAAAGACGAGGCTGCTGTTGCTCGGCTCAATCCTGAAACCACCAGAGGGGAGCGGGAGGCGGGCTCCTTTTCAGTCAATCGCGTGTTCTTTTTCTTCACCCTTGACGCCGTTTTCCTCTCCGCTCTCGGCCCCGCCGCCCCCCGCCCACTACAAGATCTTGCTGCAGACCTGGCAGCGGCTGACCCGCGAGCGCTCCTGGCCCCCCTTCAGGGTCTCCTGAACGGGCCGGAAGGAGAACTGCTCCCGGGAGTCGACGGTGGTCAGCCAGAAGCTGTACTTGTTGGCGAAGTAGTGGCAGGTGCCTTTGGCCCCGTTGCACTCGATGAACGGGGTCGCGCGGAAGTCCTCCAGGCAGGAGCCGGGGGACACCAGGGACTGGCCGCCCCCCTCCGCGCCGGCCGCCGTGTGCTGGGGGGCAAGTGAGAGAGGCATTTATTTAACCGCCGTTACTTTAACGGCCTAGCTTCCATTTTGATTCAATTCAATTTATGTTATTTTTATGATCTCAATATGTTTTTTTATGTTTTCAAGGTCTTCAAAGTATCAAATACCTAAACTCTTGTTCATGTATCATTGCTATTAGTGTATAAAAATTTCATATCATGTTGCGTTATTTGTTATTTTACAACACACTGGGGAATAATGACATGGTATAAAGTTGTAATTACAAGAGACTTGGCTAGTCCCACATACATTTGTTAAATTTTAACCTGATACAAAAGGCTAAAATCAACCAGTTTATACTCTCTATTTTTATATCTTTGCAAGACTCTAACTAATTTAATTATCCGGGACAAACAGTGACTCGTGGAATACAACCACAATCATTTGTTCTTGGTAAAGGTAAAAAGAAAGTCGGATCTTTGTCTAATTATCTGTTCTGTTAGGGTTAAAAACGCTCGTATACAACGCACCATTAGGAAAGAATAGCCTATCCAGAGGCTCCTCCAGCCGGGGGGACACATGGGGATGGTCAGGTCCTGGCTGTGGACCGCCACGGCCTGAGATGGCGCCTCACACACCGAGCACCTGGAATGTCCAGACGGCAGATTTAGAAAACGGCTCGCGAGCGCAAGCGTTCATGGGGGGAGGGGGGTGGGGGTTCGAGTCTGGGCACCTGCTGATGTACGGCTGGATCTGGTTCTCGGCCACGGGCATCATGGGTATGGGGGCGGTGGTGGACAGCCAGTAGGATTTGTCGTTGCGGCTGGCGTAGTAGCACACCTCGTTGGGGGAGCAGTAGAGGAAGGGGATGGTGTTGAATCTGGGGAGGCACGAGCCCGGCTGGCCTGTGGGGGCACGGACAGGACAGGACATTCAAAGCACTGTGTCTTTTCACCTTCGATGTCAGGAGACCGATTGCTTTGCTAGTTTATCCGTGGGAGCCGGTGGTCTGAGCATTTCCATACCGAGGTCTTGGTTGTGGGCCTTCTCCTGGCCCTCCACGTACAGCAGGCTGTATCCCTCCCAGAGCGTGGCCATGCCCTGAGGACACATGGGGATCTGGGAGTTCTGGCTGTGCTTGACCAGAGTGTAGCCGATGCTGAAGCTGCGGCCCACTCCGCCGGGAAGGCCCGGACGGCCGGGTCCGCCGGGGGGACCTGACCAAAGAAATTCACACATATGTCAGTGAACTCGTCAGGGTTTCGTTCTTGACCATTAACAGCTACAGGCAAGGTGTTGCAATGAGGAAATCTGTGGGTTGGAATCTCTTAAGCAGGGGTGTATGTGCATAATCGCCATCAATGTGGACAGGATTCTTCTTCTTCTAAAGAGCAGACCAGGTTTTATAGCTCTGCTCAGAATCTATGTACAGTGTAGGTGACGGAGGGTTTTTTGGGGTTCTTATAAACCTTGCAAGTTACTTTAGCTCTTCCTTTAAGTTCTTCCTTTCCTTTATTTTAAATCCATTCGTTGTTCAGTGTTATGAGAACTTTTGCTCTCCGGGACCAGGACAAAAATAACCCGAGCACCGACCTTGCTCTCCATTTTCTCCAAGAAAACCAGGTGGTCCGGGATCACCGACAAGCCCAGGAGAACCGGGAAATCCAGCCCCTCCGAGTTTCCCCGGTGAGCCGGAACGTCCTTTTGGACCTGAAGAGGGAGAATAATTCACACGTGTACCAAGACGAAATGGGAAGAAGTCTTTTAGTGCCTTCTAACAAACACATGTGAAAGCGGCAGTAGTATTAATTTATTAATATATTAAAATCGATATCCTAATTCCAATTCCTGACACAGATGCAAATGTACTCTGAGGAGAGGTAACCGGTGTGGTGACGCACCTTGACGTCCAGGTAGGCCGGGCTGACCGGGCTCTCCGGAGTAACCGGTGTCTCCCCTATCACCAGCAGGACCCTTGACTCCCACTATTTCTGTCAAGTCCACCGGAACACTTGGCAGTTGGATTCCGGGCGCACCCTTCCGCCCAGCAGCCCCTAACATGGGGTAACGAAGAAGGAGACAAAGGAGAGATGAGCAGCAATGCAACATAAATCACAAGATTGTTAGCAGCTATAGGAGAGAACTACGGTGTGAGAGAAGGTGGATGTAAATTAGAAAGAAAACGGTTGAATGAAAGTAACATCCACATCTTTTATTGTCACAATCCATTAACCTCCAGAGATTCAAGCTTCTATTGGGTGTGCATTTTTGCTTTCTCCATAATATATGGTCCTTATATGTTTAAAAACTAGACTCTGTCATGGTAGAGGTAGTTTCCCCTCAGATAGAGACAGAAATTGTAACATCTTCGCATAAGGACAGAGGCTCTCAGGACTTTAATGAGATTCTACTGATGTTTAAAAGTCCTACCTGTTGCACCACTTATTCCTGGGTTCCCAGGGTAACCTGGATCACCGGCATAACCTTTAGGACCAGGAGCTCCACTGAAGCCAGAGTCACCTTGCGTTCCTGAGGAGGGGCCGAAAAATTGTTTTCGTTTGTCCTTTTCTTTTAGGTAAAAACAGGTCCTGTGTCTGCATCACTTTTAAGCTCCACTCAACCTTTGAAACCGGGGCTTCCGGGGGGCCCAGGCCTCGAAGGAAATCCGGGCTCTCCCTTTTCCCCCGGTGATCCTGGGAAACCTGGGAGTCCAGGATCACCACGGTCTCCCTGGGCCGTGCCTGGACCAGGTGGTCCAGCAGGACCTGGAGGTCCCTGGAAACCTGTGGGACAGAAGAAAATATTGTACAACGAAGAGGGAGAGGGAAGAAAAAAACTACAAGAGGATAAGGCAACATAACAGAGAAAATATATATCCAAATGTTTGTTCTTTCATCAATTGGAAATAAATCTTGCAGACAAAAGACTACAAAAAAGACCCAGAATCCTTTATCAGACTGGAATGGGACTAAATTCTAGTCCAAAACTCCAGCAGCCCAAGTTCCAAAGGCCCCATCACAGATTTTATTGCCATGTGCCACTGCCAATTTAGTTTCATGAAATAATAAAATGTCTCCCCCCGTTTGAGTTTCAGTAAAATTGAAGTTTTGGTGCAGACTGTTGGTCCAAAGAGGTTAGGCAACGTTTTTGAAAAATGGACTCAATGCAATTCATATTTTTGTAATTACTAAGTTGTATTTGTTAAACATTGTGTGTTGAATTATTCAAATCCCATTGTGTTCATTAATTAATTAATTAATTAATTAATTAATTAATTCATTCATTCATTCATTCATTCATTCATTCATTCATTCATTCATGTGTCCATTATGTTTGCATTCTGATTTCACTCAGCATTGGAAATCTTTTCGGAGTTGGGATTTATTATTTACCGTATTCCCCATCCAGTCCCGGTAGGCCGGGGTCCCCAGTAGGTCCAACAGTACCTGAACCCGAGGTTGGACCAGGTGGTCCAGCTCGACCCGGGAACCCTGGGAGTCCAAGGGCCCCTGATCCATAAAAGCGCAAGGAAAATAAAAAGGTCAGGACCAATCCTAATCAAGAGTGTTTCGAACTTCTCAGAATTTCAGCTCACCTGGCTCTCCTCTCTCTCCCTTTGGTCCTGCGTACCCTGGAGCTCCAGGGTAGGATATCCCTCTCTCTCCCTTTGACCCTCTAATCCCAGGAGCGCCAGGGCGGCCTCCTAGATTCACACCTGGATGCAGATAAAACTAAATCTGTTTAAATTCCACTATTTTTTATTTATTTATTTTTTTCTGTGGTTATTATCAGCGTATCTAAAACAGGTTTTTTTATGAAGGCACATTTTTATAAATTCAATAAAAACCTACATGTAAAATTATATATATGAATATATTTTTTCATATTTGGTCCTTGCCTTGGGTTCCTGGGAGGCCTTTTGGTCCACCAAGGCCATTAAGTCCATCCAAACCAGGAGCTCCAGGCAAACCTGGCAAAGCACAACATTTTAAGTGTTAAGGCTTACTTCATATTGCCTCCTGCTCCTTCCTTACCAACAATTTATCAAATCTTTTTACAAACCTTTGGCTCCAGGACCTCCAGGGCCCCCGGGTGAACCGGTAAATCCATCCAATCCTCTTATTCCTGGCAGTCCAGACAGACCCTTATCTCCGGGGAAACCAGGGGAACCTGTCGAGCCAATCGATGGTCAGTTTCGACCAGTGCCTAAGATGACGGTAAACTGTCACTAGCTTTGATTCTCACCCATTAATCCGGGTCGTCCCGGTTCACCAACTGCGCCTTTTCTTCCAGGAAAACCCGGACTCCCTGAGAAGCCGTTGTCGCCTGGGGCGCCATCGTTGCCTCGACCACCTGAGGACGAAGAATCAGTCTTCCACTAGACACATGATGCTTTTCCCAAACTGTCAACTTATACAGTTAGCCAGTGTGTTGTCACTGTTTCTTAAAAAAGGTTAATAAATTATTGTGTTCATATATATTCAGAAAAAGCAGATTTGTTGGATTTATGGTATTTTTGCCTCATATGACAAAGCAAAATCAATCTTACCTGGGATGCCTGAGTCCCCTGGCCGGCCTCTTTCTCCTGGTCTTCCAGGATAACCATAAGAATCTCCAGGTTGACCTTGGCAATAGAATTATTCTTTACACACTATTCGTTTACATGAGTGAACTTATATGACAGAGCTTAAAAATGATTAAGAAAGCAGGTATTCATGTTCACCTTTGGCACCAAGTCGACCAGGCTCTCCGGGATAACCCGGGTTACCAGGCGTGCCATCGTCACCCTGAAAAACATAACAAAACATCAGAACCTTATCATTGCAGCTGGTTTCATATTTACAGATCTACTGTGTGTTTGTGTTTCTCACTCTTGGTCCCATCATGCCAGGAAATCCCATGATTCCGATTTCTCCCTTTTGTCCAGCAGGGCCTGGGGGTCCAGGTTGCCCAGGAAACCCTGGCTGTCCAGGCTGTCCTTTACTCAGCTCTGGGAAACCAGGAGGTCCAGGCACACCCTGACGACCAGGAAGACCTGGCAGACCCTTGTCACCTAAAAACCAGATGAACAGATGATGGTATTTGAAGTGTGGATCAATGGTGGACAACTTCTAAATGAGCTGTGATTCTTTTAAATTCAGTTTAAATTGTGTCTTATTGTATTCGATTGTGTCGTACAAGGCCGGACTGTGTTGTATCGTGCCAAGACATATTGTGTTCTATCAGAGTTTTGTATCGTAATATGTCCTATTGTATCGTGTCGTATCACCTACACAGATCACTTAGCATTATATTGTATCCCATCATGCCTGTACTGTACTGTATTTCATCATCTCATATCCTTTTTTTATGTGTTGCATCATATGATGATTTATCACATCATATAGTATTATTCCATACCATAAAATGTTGCATTGTATTGTCTTGTGCGATATCGTATCACTTCATATTGTAATGCATTCTACCATTGTTTTATAACACTGTTATATCGAGCCTTATTATATTCTATTATATTGTACTGTCTTGTGTCATATCGCATCATGTCACATTGTTTTATTTCATACCCTATTGCAGACAATTGGATTGTTCTTCATATTTGTTGAGTCGTTTTATATAATATTACACTTTATGGTGTCTACGTTGTTGACATTGTATCGTACTGTTTTGTGTCGATTCATATTGGATCGCATCGTGCTGGATTGTATACTAAATCAAATCGGAAGCTTCCGCAATAAAAAACCTATACAATAATTATAATTACATAATTGCTAAACAATAATTCTACATTGCAGGGACACGGATTAACATGAGTATTGTTTGGCTGCACAAACAAATGGGTATGAAACAGTGAAAAATTAGCAACTGTGCTACCTCTGATTCCAGGGAAGCCAGTATAGCCGCTAGAGCCAGGATTTCCTCTGTCGCCTTTTGCCCCAGGGGCCACAACAGATGGAGAAGCAGGTAATCCAGGGGGACCGGGCACTCCTCTATCACCTGCGGAAATTTTAAATCAAGTAGGAGGTTGTGTTACTCTCAGGCTGCTGATCCTTTTATTTGGTCTGCAGTTCTTGCAAAAGCCGATGATCTAAACTGCCATTCTGAGCTTTACCTTTCAATCCAGGGCTGCCAGGTCTTCCAGGATAACCATCTCGCCCAGACCCTCCAGGCAAACCTTTTATTCCCTGAAATCCTGGAGTTCCAGGACGTCCTGGTAGTCCAGGGAAACCCATTGGTCCTGAAAATCCTCTTTCACCTGAGGAAACCACCAACAGATCAGAATGTGAAAGAGACTTTAAGGAGATGCACAAATATGACCAAACAGAGGACAAATCCCAGCTATACCCTTTATTCCTGGTATTCCTGGATTTCCATCTCTAGTTCCTGGACCAGGAGGTCCAGGGGGTCCCCTTGGTCCTGGTGTTCCAGGTATACCGGAGAGCCCTGGCGTTCCTTTCATTCCTGCAGGGCCTGGGAAACCTGGCTCTCCTCGGATTCCTTTGCGACCAGGGAAGCCTGACGACCATTATCAGGACGGACGTGGTTAGATGGCAATCACAACCAAACATTCAAATAATCTTTATATGTACATGATAATATCCGATAAATTGACCTTTTTCGGAATTAGGATCTAGCCAGTGAAAACAAATAATTCAGAGAACCATAAAGACTTACCTCGGTTTTAATAATAGATAAACTTACCTTCAGCTTATTCATATTCTTAGATCAACATGTTCATTTTAGTTAAATTCACTGTTTATTTGATTTCTTTAAACACACCAACACAAACAATAACGATAACAGTAGACGTTGCTTTGCAATCGTGATGAAGCTACAACAGCACTTGAAGGCGCAGGGGTGATATTCAACAGATGCAAGCATGACACACAGCATCCAGTGATTTGAAACGCTTTTTGAAACATTCACTGGAACATTTCTGGAATCACAGTTTTAGCGATTTAAAGCGCAATTCCAGGCTGAATTAGCGAGCATTAATCTCCGTAACTTTAGAAATGTTTTTAAAAAAGAACTCTAACTTTCTAACTTGCTAGTGCTTACATTCTTAAAAGTGGAGTCCATTTTCAACAACCTGTGCTACAAAGGCAGAAGTCGCCAAATTTGACAAACTTGCGGCCAGTGCAGGCCCAAAATGGCGTGTGCTGAAAATGTCCGAAAAGTACTTTTAAGAGTGTAAAAAAGCTTAGACTTATACTAAGCTGAGCAAGAACACAGCTGTAAGCATTAGGCACAAAACGCTTGTCAAACAAACTTGTCGCAGCAAAAAATGACTAAAAACATCTGGTGCTTACAACATGTCAAATTTAAACAGAGGTTAGTTTTTGCAGTGAATAAATGAATCAAATGATCAATAATCATACTTTCATTGAAAATGTCTACTTCTGAAGCTCTCAAGTAATATATGTATATATATATATATATATATATATATACATACATATATATATGTATATATTAGAGAAAGACACACATAATTGTACATCTATTTACAGTCTTTTACATTTTAACATATTCATTTTGTTTAAGTAAATAAAGAAAACATTTAATTACTCCATTTATCATCTGATGTATACCCTCCTGTTGTCAAATGCTATTTTTAGTTTGTCCTGGCACAGGAATAATTTGCCTTGAAGACCTGTTGGCATCAAATTTTTGTCAAAAGTCGAGAACAAAATTAATTTTGTCTGCCAAATTATACCATTGTCACTCACTATTTTATCCATCCACTGCATCAAAATAGTGCCCGGTGCCCGTAACAATGCTCAAATCAAACTGACTTTGACAGTTTGGTGTGGAGAAAAAGGGCTGTATTTACTATCTACACCCACGAGGATATCCATCTTCACTAAGATTTATAGATTTGAAGGAGCCACAAACCAGTTTTATTGTTTGACCTATGAACTAATAAACATTGTTTATTGTCACAAGTAGTATTATATGATTGATTTAAAAAAATACTATCAATTGAGATTAATAACTTACAAAAATTCTAAATTTCCTGCTTTCAATGAACTTCTATTAATACGTTGTATGGTAGTCCCCACTTTTACTAATTTCCTTTAAAGAAAAACAACAGTTATTTTTCATATTTCACTATTCATTACTTTAGATACTTTTTGTATGTGTGTGTGATCCCTATTGTTCTGTGGGCTTTTAGTTCAGAACTAGATTTACAACATATCTCTGGAGTGAGCAGCTTTAGTAAACCAACTGGTAACTAAACGGAGCTGTAATGAGGGTGTGGCACAGGTGGAACTAAAATATTGGCACCACACTGTTTCCAGAAAAGCAGCATCAAACGGGGACACAGGCCGACGGTGAGGATTATTTAGCAATATGATTAGAAGGGAGTGCAGGCCGGTGCCTCGGGAGAGGCAGCAGTTAAAGGTCTAAGGCACAAACAGCAGGAGGAGGCAGGGATGGAAGCAGAGGATGGAGCTCATGGACGGGGACACGGACAAAGGATGGGGGAAGAGAGTGTCTCACCTTGACAGCCTACAGCGAATGACCCAACCAAGAAAAGGATGGAGGGATGAGAGATGCATGGACATGATGGAGGAGGGTGTAGAAAGGAAGGAGGATACGGGGGAAGGAAAACAGAACAATACAAAACAGAAGAGGACATTCCTTTGGGTGAGGCGGAACTTGAACAAACAAGAAAAAAAAGGGCATTCTGGTGGAGCATTTCGGAAGGAATATGATTGAAAACGACAGGGATGTACCAATGCTGCTAAAAAAAAAAGTGGGGGGACAAGTGAAAAATATCAGACTGGATTAAACCAGATTATATGTCAACTCTTTCAATGAATAAACCTAAAAATATTCAAGGCAGAGATAGTAAGATCTCACAAGGATCTAATGTTGAGGGTGCAATTGAGGTGGTCAGAGCTTTTTTTTCCTCACCTGGTGGTCCAGTCTGTCCACTCCTACCGGGGGGGCCAGGACGGCCCGGGGTGGGTGAGAATACTTCCCCTGGAGGTCCAGGAGGGCCAGGAGAACCAGGGATGCCATTAATTCCACTCTCTCCCTTCAAGCCAGGAACGCCAAAGCCTCCATCGCGGCCTGATGGAATAAACCATGTTGACGGCACACAACGGCTTTCGTTTCTTAAACTTTAGCCTACAGTAACATTTGCCTCAAACTATTTGGATGTCGGTCACAGCCTGCTTTATAGTGAATTAGCTATTTAATCTGTATTTAACTCAGAGTCAGATTCATCTACAAAGTAGAGAAGGAGAAGTTTAAAAAAAGGTTTTGTGTATGGTCTACACATCCTTGGAAATAGAAAATCAACAAGCTGCATTGTCTGGAGGCTATTAATGCTTCTAAATTTCTATACATGGAAAATCTTTAATCCGGATTGATATCGGCTTCTATTTGAACAGTTCCTGGAACTGCTTAAGTCATTACAAAATTACTTTGACCATTTTATGAACCCACAAATCAGATTTTAAAAAAAAGAAGTATTTCAAGATACGTATGAATCTAATAACACGTTTAAATATGGATTCAGATTTAAAAAGACAAACTATTAAAGTTCTATAAGCCATATCTTGCTATTAACCTGTATCTTTTCCATCGGTTCACCACAGAAAAAGGGAAACTTTGGAATATTTGTTTTAGACACATCTTAAAAGAATGTTCCCACCCTGAAATAGGCATTATATGGCATCCCTGTGTGGAACGGTTCCACTTGATGCACTTATTCTAAACCATTTTATTTCGATAAGAGGTTCCACAAAGGCTATTTTTCACTGTACAAGGATTTAACCCTGTTAAATTCAGAAGTGACTTAATCCACAGCTGTTGCTACTAAAACGTGTCCAACAGCTATTATCAGGACTAGAGATATGATCAATGATCTCCCCATCTCACCGGGGGATCCGGGTGATCCGGGAGTCCCTGGCTGGCCCTTGTCTCCCGGTTGTCCGAGTAAACCGTTTGGTCCTGGAGCTCCAGGTCTGGCTCCGTAAACCTCTCCAGGCTGCCCTTTGGCACCGGGGCGCCCCGGGGCACCGTCTTTACCCCTGACTCCGTCAAAACTCCGTCCGGGGGCGCCCGGAAATCCAGGGTCCCCTCTCATTCCAGTAAAACCTGCAGGGGGAGGGGGACGCGGCAGATTAATACTGATGAAACTGAAATCCGTTTAAAGTGCGACCACACGCCAAGACAAAGGTTTACCCTGTGGTCCGGGTATGCCTCCGAAGCCGGGGTCCCCCCTCTCGCCTTTGCCTCCGTTGAACCCTGGACGTCCAGGTTCTCCCGGGGAGCCGGGCCGACCTATGCCGCCTGATGGAGATGGAAATCGTTCAGCGTTTTAGGCATTTCTAAACCATTTGAATCAGAGCCTTTTCATGTGAATCACCTGGCTCGATAAAACACAGCATTAAGACTGCATCTTTTTAAGCCGCGCTCGTTTTCGATGGTGCGAGAAAAATCCTTTTTCAATTCTGTTAAAAAAGTTCTCAATATAAACCCTGCTTTACAAGGATGTTGGTCGTCCATGAAACAAAAAAGTTTAAACAATCGAAAGCCCTAACAAGCAGTCTAAAACGTTGAACCAGTCTTACTTGTCTTTTGAAATTAGACAGCAGTCGGGCCTGAAAAAAAACTGAACGTACATTAGAGGAAGGATGGAGGTTGAAACCAACGTAAAGCTTTTCGGGATATTGTACCTGATCGTCCAGGTAAACCGGGCACACCGGGGTCTCCAGCCTCACCAGGAATGATGCAGGGTAGCAGTTGGCCTGTTAGCACCCATACACAGGTTAAACGCACATACTTTATGCATTTCAATACAGCAAACCCGAAGAGAGACAGCTGCAATGGCAATTTTATTAAATTAAAATCTATTTCTAAACGGTAAATACATTCTTTTACACCAGACTTGAACTTAAATCTAAAAATGTTGTTGTCTTTACAGTGACTGTGTACATTTTCTGTGCTAATCCTTACATCGCTGTGATCTTTACCAACACAACTATAGACAAAACAACATTAGAACTAATAGAAATACCTCTCCGAGTCATTTTTTAGAATCATTGCTTTCTGTAGATGTTTTCATCGATTGTCTTTCGCTTCCAATCACTCGAAAAGGGATGAATCTGGGTTAATTGTTCAACTGTTAGTAGCTATTTCGTTGTATGAATGGGTGAATTGTAAAACAGAAAAAGTATTCAGTCGAATCATTTGAATGTTAAGCATCATCTTGATTTTTGTGTCTGTGTTTGGTCTTGTTCCCCCCCCCCCATTGGGCTAATTTCTGGTTAAAAGCACTTAGCAGAAGCAGGGCTTGCAAACATGCGCAAGGATTCAGCAGCTTTGCTCGGAGGAAGAGGAGGATATGAACAAATGCTACTGTCCAGTGACCTTTGGGCCGACGTCATTAGGCGGCATGCTCGCGTGCAACTGAAGCTCCGCTGTAGAATCATCGACTGACTCTGCCGGGATGGAATCCCTGAGAGGCAGGGAGCGAGAGGCATCCATCGCCCCGTCATGAACAAATGATTCACAGAGAGCCAGTTGCCTTCAAAAGACTACGTTTCATCGTTACCTGCTTTGAAATAAGATTCCCTCATCAAGGCTGGCTAATTGTGATGATCACTAATAGATCAAATATTAACGTCTCATTGACATGATGTTGAAGAACCCCTTTTGATTCCCCTCTCTAAAGTGGGCTGAAGGTATTTGGACTTAAAGGTTTTAATAGATATGATTATTTTCCCTGACATTTTTAATGACTAAAAACCCATCGTCATCAAAAGGGGTTGCTGTGGGCTTTCAGACGGTAACAAAATAATGTCCTTTCACTTTTCTCTTTTCCTGTAAGTAATCATCCCAACGTGTTCACAATGCAATTTTTCGTCATGGCTGCTGTTGTGAGGTCCAAAAGGTTTGCACCTAAGAGTTTGGCCCTATTGCACCCTTCCTAGATGTATCTGTGTTTTCCATCTAGATAGGGCAGGTCAAAAAAAGCACTGGTTAATTTAGAGATTAAAAAACATTGTTTTAGGGGCATGTTTTTTTGCACAATGATGGAATAGGCAGGAATTCAGAGGTTAGAGGCTAGAGGATGTTCAAGGAGTTCTGAACATGGACCCTCAGAAACAACTAAAGCCTCAAATCTTTTGTTTGTTTGAAGGAATGCTGTCTCTAATTTTTCAGCTTCATAACTACATGTTTTGATTGGCCTTTCAAACAAGAAGTTCTCCAAACGAAATGACAAGATAGGATATTTGGTCGTAAAAAGAATTCCCAGATAAGCTTTTTGAAGTCTGTTTCCAAACCACGGAAACAGCATCTGTACATAAAAGTTGCTTACATTGTGAACACGTGGTAAAACTGTACTATCGGCCTCCTTTTTTCCCCCTTTTATTTTGACATTTAGAATAATCTGCTGTGGCTTCCGTATGCAGCCCGGCTTTGTTTGATGACTCCACCAGTCGCTGGGCTAATGCTACAGTACATATTCGGTCCCAGGTTGTTACTTTGTCTGGTGGTCGAAAAAGTTAGCTACCCACCCGTTCCCTGTCCGGCGTCATTAACCCCTCCACAGCTGATTTCACCTGGACAGATACACATGCACATGGCAGTTGAGACAGATGGAGGGATGGGGAGAGGGAAGATGGAGAGATATGTTCATAGAGAGAGAGAGAGAGGGTGCGTAAAAGGTGGCAGCATACAAAGCCAGTCAGGAACATTTGCATGCGCCAATAAAGTAATTATTATTATTATAATTTTTCTTTTTTTGTGTGTTCACATCAAACAGTTATCAGCAAATCAGCAATCAATCAACAAGGCAGAAGCATAATGAAATGCGAAATGCATGGTTCAGAGTAAAAATGCTTCAAAACAGGTTATTACCATCAACAAGAGAGAAGTGAGAAAACCGAGTTCAAAATAAGTATGTAGGGATTTTAAATGACTGTATCTGCCTCTATTCTCTCTCAGCTCCTGTGAGTAGCAATAACCCTGATATTAAAAGCAAAATTAATCAGTTGTTTAGCATCAGCGTCATGGTACAAGAGCACATTCATAAGAATAGCTGGCTGCTGCTTAAAACTGTGTCATTTAGTCTCAGAGAGGAAGAACATGTTAGCAGCAGAAAACTGCCAGAGTAATGGAGAACAGTTTGATATATTTTGAATTGTTTTTTTTTTTGGTTTTTGGTAATTTTTTACAGTCCTCTGATGTGAAATCTATTACCTTCTTAGTAAGAAGTACACGTGTTATGATTGGGAACGAGATCACAGTATAGATCTGAAATATCAGCCTGAATTCACCTAAAGGTTAAGCGGTTCTAATTAGGCCTTTAGGAGAAAAAAAAAACTATTCTGATTCGAAGATGGTCCACTTCACTAAAATGTAAGAAAATGTGGTGAATATTTTTTTATTCAAACACTTCCGCATTTTGTACCCAAAAAAAGTGGGGCTTTAAAAGCTTAAAATCTAACTTACTTTCCTTTAAATTAGCTCTTCCGCCGTTACTCTTCAGGCAAATCCCACCTTCTTATCTGGTTTAAAAGACTATACAAATAAATATGAATCAATGGATATATTTTCGTCTTATTCTGTGTCGCTGCTTTGTGAGTAGCTCGCTTCCTCTGAGACTGAATGAGCACAGCGGCTATGCGTGTCAGTGATTACAACATCATCAATGAGCATCAGTCATTCCACTGAAGATGCGGTTTATTATGGATTACAGATTATTGGCTGCGGAAGGAGAAAAAGCACATTAATGGAGACCATTAATCATGTAGCTGGCAGTGCACGACTGAGGAACAAAAGGGCAGAAAGCTGCTGTTTTCGGGTCCTCGAGTGTCTGATTTCTTCACCGACAAAGATGAACCAGAGTCTGTTATGTTGCCTAAAAATGGTGGTGTTATTCTTTAGGTTAGGATGAGTTTCTTTAGTAACGACAGCACATAAATTCAGATTGGGGATATTGTACGATTATGTTGAGTGCGTCGTCTCGGGGGACACAGACATCTTAAATGGACCTTGTTGACATTGTCCCCGTTATCACTTACCTTTTTCGCCAGGTAGACCAGGCTCCCCAGGCAAACCAGGTAGGCCAGGATCACCGGGCTCACCACGAAAGCCAGGGGTTCCCACGATGCCAATGCCAGGCTCGCCAGGGCCGCCAGGACGGCCTTTGGACCCGGGAAATCCCGGGAATCCTTTTTCTCCCACTACGCCATAGCCCCCATCGCCCTGAGAAAGGAGAGGACAAGGAAGAAAAGAAAAGCAAGGGGATAAAAAAAGGGAAATTTAACCAGAAGCCAGACGTCAAGGAGATCAGAGAGGAAAACATGCTCAGAAAGACAGATGGAATTTTTAATTCCTAATTTGTGTTACTTGGAAAAATCAGCAAATGAAAAACTTTGACACAATCACAAGTTGTGCTGTACTTACTGGGGGTCCTGGGAGTCCAGGGCGGCCAGGCCTTCCGTCTCTGCCAGGTTTTCCTGTCTCACCTGTAGGTCCTCTGGGTCCAGTATTCCCGAGCTCTCCTTTCTGCCCGGAAACTGTGCCAGAGTAGATGGACGACCCCTTCTCTCCCTTACGGCCATAATAACCCTGCTCGCCAGGGACACCCTGGGGAAAGAAATCCACACTTATCTGTGGAGCTTTGGAAAACAGGAACAAAAACAGTTTCCCCTTCAGTCATTCATTTCTATCGAAGTCTAGATTTGGACTCACATCAGGTCCCGGGAAGCCTCGCGCGCCAGGCACACCAGGATCGCCAAGCTCACCCTTCCGTCCAAAAGGGCCAGGGTTGCCGTTTAGTCCGGGAGGCCCCTGCAATCCGGGCAACCCCACGGTTCCTCCGCCTCTGCAGTTGCAGTCGCCGGGGTCCCCTGCAGGATGGGTGGTGGGGGGAAAAAGACACACAAGGTGGAGCACCCAAAGGAGAAGCAGGGGAGCAGGATTAAGACATTGCCTGAATATTCAAAAAGGATGACTGTGAACCTTCTGACACTGAAATACTGACAAAATTTGCTCAACCTGAAACATTTCAACCCTAAAAGAGAGCTGAGAGTTTGTATTTTTAGTTTTGATTAAAAAGTTGTTGGATTTATCATGGTGATCTATCACTAAAACTCGGATGGAAGATGAGGGAATAGAAAGCAGTGATGGGAAAGAGAGAAAGGAGATTGAGTGAAAGAGTGTTAGATAGTTGTAGTGAGTGTGTGGCTGTGTTTTATCCCACACATTTTCAATAAAACAGCCAATAGAGTTCATAGAGGAGGAGAGGTATCTGGAGGATGAAATTCTGAACGGTAACATTAGTTTATTATTATTATTATTACCATCAAACTTTGTAACTATCAATGTAAAAAGGTAAATCTCAGACTCTATAGGGCTAAGTTAGCATGTTAAATGTCAATGTTTATGAAAACACAAACTTAAAAATACTGAAGTTTGTACATGCTGGAACATGCCAATTTGTCTTGATAGTTCGTAGACAAGACAATTATTATCAGGAATAATACGCTAAAGCTGCTGAAAGTAAAATCTGACCATTAACAAGGCAGCACTTTACGGAAATTGAACTCCTATATAAACAGCAAAATGGACTCAGTTTTTCTTTTTACAACCTCATTTCAACACAGTTTTTGCCAAATAATAAAAAGTAGCATAACAAGTCATGTGTTTGTTGGTGTCGTCACCAACTTTAAAACAAGAACGGACTAGGTTAGTCTGCATTATATCCTGATATATCAAACCTCGACATGAAGTCTTAAATAGTCCTTGTCCTGTTTTGAAAATCATCAAGGCTCTGGTCGACCGAATAAAACTTTGGTTGTCTGGTGAGCAGCCATTTGCGTACCTCTAAAGCCTTTGAATCCTCTGGTACCCGGTGGTCCTCTGGCTCCAGGAAGCCCGGGTCTTCCAGGGATTCTGTTGGGACCTGGACCAGGACCACCTGTGAGCACAAACGCACAAGAAAACGTCCAGTGAATGACTAGTTAAAAAGCGGCACGGGGTTAATCAAGCCGTTCTTGTTATTGATGGAGACTTTGCACTGTTTGAACCTGGACTGAATTGCACTGGCTCGAGCAGAATACAACAGATATCAATGAAGCGTGAGGGAATGACTCAAATCAGAAAGTTCAAATCAAAGTTGCAGCTTCGTGCCGCAGTGCAAAATCAGTTGTATTCAATTTTTTTCTCCTTTTTTTTCTTGCTCCGTTTATTTTCCAACAGATTTGACATTATGTCATTATGCTGGCGCAAGATGAGAGGCTTCTCTTCCAAAGCTTTTGAAGCATTTACATGATATGAAAGTGTAAAACAGCAATTTGTCTAGCAAGAACTAATTCAGTGATTTTAAATGGACTGTAATGGCAGAAAACTCTTGCATGTATTGGGCTCCGTATTATCTTAAACAAGAAAACATTTTCCATCAGGTTAAATTCTAATTCAGAGTCGAGACAGGGTGTTTGTTTGACGAGTCAATTTGCTTTTCCATCAGTATCTTTCAGTCTTTTACTCTCAAGGTGCTTTGTTTCTGTTACTTTGAGAGAGTATTTCAAATTGTTTTCAATTTGTTGTCAATAGCCTTATAAAAGAATAAAAAAAACAAGAAGAGAAAACTGATGGTATTGCTCATGCAAGCTGCTAAGCACTGAAATCCATGTAAAATCAGTGAATTTTGCAGGCGACCCCTTGTGGCCAAAGACAAGAAAAGCAACTTGGAGTAGAGGAACCGCCCTATCCAAGTCTGAAGCTCATAACAGCCTGCAGTCTCCACTTACCCCCCATTTCCTGCACATGATACGGTGCGGGGCAAAAAAAAAAAGCATTTTAATTGTTAGATGCTGCCAGCTGAAAGTTTGTTTTGAATTCCGCTTTGAGAGACTGAATACTGCCACGGCGACTAGAGCAGTATGGTTGCCGTTAGGGTACCTGCAGAACTTACCAACAGGATAGATGACGCAGGGATCAGAGGACGACCCTTGGAGAACAGCAAAGTCAGACAGCTGTTATGTTTCTAAAGCTGGTTTCTATCGTTTCGTGTACTCCTACTGGTGAGCTTGCTTTTATTTCACAATATGGCAAATGTAATCTTTTTCTTCAAATTGTTCCGCGGCAATTGCATCTCTGATGCAGAATGATGCAGCTTCCCCACATAAACAGCTCTAATTCATGCATGCTTTTAATTGAAAAAAAAGGGCTAAATAATTCTAAAAGGTAAACAACAGATTATTCCTCGGGCCAAAACCCAATTTCTTGTATATGATTTGGTTTCAATCCACTTCACCACCTCTGAGGACGATCAGAAAGCTTTATCAGTCTGAACTCTGAGATCGTACCAGAAGCGCCCTGAGGTCCAGCAGGACCAGGGGGGCCAGGGGGTCCTGGGTAACCTGGGCGTCCATCGATGCCATAACCTGGTGTGCCCGGGGTGCCCTGTTCTCCTTTTGGTCCTCTGGTCCCAGGATAACCGGGGCCTCCTGGAAGACCTATATACAAAGGATTTGCACAAAAATATATAATCTTTATTTCTATTTACACTAGGATCATGCATTATGAGCAATTGCTCAACATTCTCCCAATGAGTAAGTGTAAAATACCTGTCCCAAAACCACCAGTTCCTGGTTGGCCTGGAGCTCCTGGAAATCCTGTAGGTCCACGGTCGCCAGGAGGTCCAGGGCGACCATTGAGACCAAGATCGCCGGGAAATCCTTTAGCCACTAATGGATAACGTAATAAAAAACTCAAAATGAAACCACAAGACTGCTATATTATTTCCAGGACAAATGTATGTCTGTATGTTTTCTTTTGTGTGGTGTGTTATATGCCTTGAGCGTTGATGTAAGATGCAGGTCCTTGAGGTCCAGGGTCTCCTCTGTCTCCCTGTGGGAGGTTCAAATAGGTGAGTACAATTTAATTCAGAGAGGCAAAGAAAAGCCTGAGGGTTTAGCTTTGACAAGCACCGAATGGTGACAAGTTTGAAAAAACACATACAACCATGCCCTCACTTTTGTTGTCAATTCTCCATGGTCAAATTAAATGTGAGGACATCTGGGCAGCTACAGTACATGCATACATAGAAACAGTTTGTGTTACCTGGAAAGTACTAGATTCTTAGATCTGACCGGAAACTCTTAAATGTTCCTTACCCTCAATAAAGGGCAAATGAAAATCAGCTGAAGGAACAAAAAGCTAAAACAACACACTGCAGATTTATGAGTGCTAATATGAATCAAGAAGCTAATTCAGCTTCAAGTTAGTGGGATTTTAGCATTTCGTAACAATGCTAAGTGATTCTTTATTTGAATAGCGTATCAAATAAATTGAAAAGCCAGAGTCCTTTAGTAGCTGTGCAAACAACAGCAATATGTTAAAAACTACAGAAATCTTTGGAGTTGTATTAATTAGCATCTTAAAGATGGAAATGCTCATTAAAATTGATTTGGATAACAAAGCAACTTGATGCTGGTAAAAGTATTGCAAAGAAGGAAGTCAACCAGAGTTATATGCAAACTGACTGGCGATATGTACCAAATACTATGTACACAATACTGTGTCTGATCTTGGGTCAGTTTGTACTGGAACTTCAATTCCTGTTCATGTTCTACATTTGGGGATTAAAGCGATATATGATTCTGGTTCTGAGTGCGTCAGATGAACCGCACACACGCACAGCTGTGTGCTGATTTTACCTTGGGACCCCTGTATCCTTGTGTGCCGGCAAAACCCGGATTGCCGGTGGGTCCCTGAGAACAGAAAACCAAGTTTACTTTCAGTTTAAGTTTGTGACTGTAAATATGACACTGGACTGGACTTAATGATCGCATCATGTCAGCGGCATGCTGGAAACCTAAACCTTCGCAAAAGAAGCCGATATAGAAGCACTATTTCAAAAATTGTAGACTACTACTGAACTATTTTCTGAAGTAGCAAATGGGGGATTTAATCTTTCAAAGATGGCTGTTCGAACCCCAGTAATCTGGAGCTGAATTTATCAGTCAGTTTCACATTACTTGCCTGCTGTCCTGTAGGACCGGTGGGGCCGTTTAAACCTGGAGCACCCTGTTTGATGGAATCACAAACATCCACGACAGAAGATGAAGTAGAAGGGAATTAATGGCAAGAGAAAAACCGGACCACGAATTATGTCAAGAATCATTGTAAAATAGTGTATTTCAGTAAAGCCTCTGAGTGGTAGGGGGGTCTTACTCTTTCTCCGGGGAATCCAATAATGCCCTTCTCGCCAACTTCACCACGATAGCCAAAAGGTCCCTGGGAATGATCCAGGAAATGAAGAGCTTTCAAAATGTGGAATGTTCTTGTGTACCTGTTGCCAGTTTGGGCTGACGGAAACTGTTTCAAAGTTGAATTTACAAAAACGAGAGCAAAAGACTTACAGGTGGGCCGTTAATTCCAGGATATCCTTTAAAACCCTTCGGACCAGGTTCTCCCTGTAGGAGATGGAAAGAAGGCAGAAGTTGAATTTTTTAACACCTCCACTTGCAAAACCATATAAATGACTTTTTTTTCTGGGAGTGTTGATTTTATGTTGATATATTACTGCTTATCGAACTTACCTATGGAAGTCCACAAAAACCGTGAACGACACTGACGATACATTACAGTTCATCGGTCAAATCTTTCTATCTCTTTAATTCTCTCTTTTCCCTGGCTGTCGACGATCCAAACAGCCTATTCTACTATTTAAAAAAAATTGAGATCTACGTCATTTAGGCATTTTAGGCCCATTTTTTCTTATACCTAAGAGGAAGCAACAATGTGGAGATACTACAAGCTTTTGTATGGATAATGTCAATATTTATATAAAAAGTAACACCAACAAGAGGGTTCAGTACTACCTCTTAATGTTTACTATGAATCTAGTATTTTTTGCTGTGGAGCGAAGGATGCCTTAAAAAAATCTTATACTGATATGCTGTCAGTTTGGACCTGTAACTGACTGTTTTGGGGATGTTTTTGATTATTCTCTAAAAAGTATTTACTCAAATAATAGAAAAGAAACATGTGGTCATGACTCAGGATGAGGTAAAATAAAAACAAAAACAGAAAAAAATGATGAGGTATTAAAACAACTGCAGTCATTAACACAAGTTTAGATACTTACAAACACACATCACTGTATAAACTGCAAAGAGAAGGACATAGAAGTCCTAAGAATATTAAAAGTCAGTATTCTAAAGAGGAACATGGTTGCCGTTGATAACGCTCGAGCTTTTAAAACCATTTTCATCCAGCGTTCACCAGCAGGTACCGTGTGGGATTAGCTCATGTAAAGCTGCGTTGTGTTTTCTAACAAACCTGTGTTCCTTTGTCTCCTTTGGGAAAACCCAAAAACTCCACAACCCCATTGATCATTGGCTGGCCGGGTTCACCGGGCGAGCCCACGTCGCCCTGGATGCCGTAACCGTGACAGAGAGAGCTGTTTACACCAGCACTGAGCAGTTCGGGGGCGGCGGAATAATTAGGGGGGGGAGGGAAGGCATCAGAGAGTTTGGGGAGGGCGCGGGGGGGGGCGTTTGAGGGAAGACGGGAGCGACTGCTGTCTGGAGGATGGACGGAAAGTTTGGCTGGAGCATTCAGAGTGAGGAGAGGAGCGAGGAGCGTACGAGATGATAAGAGGCTGTTTTGGTTTTTTCCAGCGGTATAGATTTACACGCCTCGTTCTTGGGTGCAGAATCTCCAGGGCGCTATAGTTTTTACACCACAGACTCAGAAACCTCTCTTCCCGGGCATTTCTGATTTCGATCAAAAAACAAGGCCCAGCTCTATATCTACAAAGAGAAAAAGTGTGATGCCGTGTCATAATTATCTTGTTTTAAAGCCCCGCAAATATGGAATTACATATAACAATATGAACTTATGATTTCTGGTCTAAATGCGACCTCCAGTTTGAATCTCGCATGCCAGAAGTTTTGATTTTTTTAAAATTATCTAAGTGTTTTTGAGTCAAATTAAAAGTCAGAAATGAGGCCTTTTCTTTTTCTGTAAGTATCCTCTTAGGATACTCATGAGGCTTTTTGGTATCAGTTTTCCTTTGGTAGTACCAGGCATTGGATACCTTAAACGTCCCATTCAACATAAAAATAAAAAACCAAGTCATCCAGACGTCATCTGTACAGATGCTGTAGGGTTTAATGCTTGTTGTCCTACTGGTGGTAAGCATTTCTTTACAGGCAGGCTTTGTCTGACTCTGTTTTTGTGAGAAAGTAATATGTCAAGCATCCCTTTGTTTACATGATGAGGAATGCTTAGGAGACAAAAGTTGTTTTTTCTGCTTGTGTTCAGTTGTATGTATCCAAAGTCACCAAACTTTTGATTTTTAAAAAGTCTTCCACTCTCCTACCACATTTATCATGCATATGCTAGTTATTTGTAAACCCAAAACATAATTTGTCAAATTCTTCCAAATTGCAGGGTCCAGCCTGAATTTTTCATGTCCTCGAGTTTTACAGATTTCATAACGTCTCCTCGGGGACCAACCTCTCCTTCACCTCCTCCTCCTCCTTCCATTCCTCACATCTTCCCCTCCATGGCTGTACAATTTGCTGCAATCACTGCTCCTCTTCCTCTTTTCAGCCAGTTCCCATTGTGCAGCTGACCTTCAGTTTCAGTACCGTTCCAATTAAAAAAAAACCCACCACGGCCGAGTGTGTGTGTGTGTGTGTGTGTTGGGGTGCCTGTGCTCAAACTGCCAAAACGTAAGTAAACTCGTCCCTTCCCTCACTCTGTTACCTTATATCCTTTGTAGATAGTGACAGTTGTTTCGCTTTCTAGTGACTCGTCGCCGCGAGAACCGCTGGGTCCGGGAAGACCCACGTCACCCTGGAGTCCGGAATACATACAACACACTGTTAGCCAGTCAGGAGAGGGGAGGTGTGGAGAAACAGGGGGAGGAACGGGAGGAGGTAAAGATGCAAGAAAACGAGAACAGGAGGAAGGGGCAGGACTGACAAAAGAGTGGAAAGACTATGGTGGAAACAAAAGTGGGTACATTCTGTAAAATTAATTCTTTGGATTTGATTTAAGCCTTTTTTCGTGATTAATAATACAAAATATCATATTTTAAAGAATAACTGCTTCTATTCTACGTGATGCCAGCAACTCTGTAAATGTGTGGCCGAGGGAAAACCCTCCGAATGGCTCGAGAAAGGCCATGCACAGAAGCACACAGACGCCGTCCCAGATGCAAAGTTAAATGGCGGCTCCCTTGAAGGAATGAACTACAATCCTGGGCTTTTATCCTATTCTCTTCCATACACAGATCTATTTATTGTTTCCTAACAATATGAACTGTGAAATCAAGTTTCCCATATTGTATTTTTATTATTTTTTACCTTTCAGATGCCAAAACAGATCTCAAAATAGTGGTCAAACGATGCTATTATCATTGTTGGCACGGACAGCTTTAAGACTCTGCACTTTGTTTGAGAGCTGTGTTGCTTTAGATGGAAAATATAATAGATTTCTCATAACTAAGGCAACAAATCTTTAAAATTTTTTAAATAGAGCTCAAGAATTCTTAACTTCCACGTAGACAACTAAAGCAGATAAAGGAGCATGTTCTACAGCAGCCACGATGGGAGCTGTCTAACAGCTTGGATTAACTAAATGATTAAGAAGAGCTCCGGGGCTCCTTTTAAAGTGTCCCTTAGCACAGGATCATCCTTTCTTAAGCGGATCATTCCAACACAGCCCTGATTAGATTGATCCAGTCATTGAGGTTTTATTTGTGTGGGTTATAATGAGGCCAAGAGCGAGAGGCTGCTGAAGTAATATATAATATTCTGTAAAGTTAGATCGGTAAAACAAGATGATGCGATTTATCTGAAAGCCGCTGGTCTCGTGGTGCCCCACAAAGTCACCAAAGCTTGACCACTGCTTGCTGACTCTTCAATGCCTTCGGTCAAAACCACTGAAAATAGCTGGAATAATGTGGCATTAGGTGTCCACTTAATTGAGAGGTCAAAATAGAGATTCCGCCTCAAGAGTCAGACAAGATGTGAGAATACATTTAGTTAGGTTTTAAATAAGAAATAGAAATGCTAATAAGAAAAAATAAAGTTGAATTGTGAAGTAAAAACCAAATGAAAGGTATCCCTTTACATGAATCATTATTCAAATGAATCTTGTTATTTTGCCGTTTCAATTCCAAGGATCTATCTGTTTATAACTGTTAGATTCTTTCTATTCTAAAAAATAAATAGGACATCTCCAGGAATTGATCTGGGTTTAGTAGCGGATGAACATAAGTTCCAGCTCTGAGCAGGTTTAGAAGTTTGGTCAGATGTGTTACAATGAAGCCACACAGGGGGAAAACAATAGGAAAGCAGGAAATGAAAAGAGGGAAAAAGTTTAGGATGGTTGAGAGACTGACAGAAACAATAAACAAGGGAATATTTAGAGATATTTAAAAAAAAATCTCGGTTTCAACTGATTTTTTTCTTTTAACGCAAATCAACAGGCTGAAGAGTAGATCCAGCTGTTTCCACACTCACTTCAAAACTTTGGCTCTGTCTGATTTCATGATGTGAGGATTTGATTGGAGCGTTACATGCATGCGGTCTGTGAGGAGGGTGTGTGTTAGTCGTGGTGTTTTTTAAATAAGCCAGGTGGGTGGGGAGGTGGGTGGGGCGTGAAGGGTCAAAGAGCAGGCAAATAAAACACCCACAGAGTCCCAGAGAGTGGAGTCAAATTAAGTGACGCGGGAAATAGGAGCGAGTGATTCCAGCAGCCAGTTACAGCCCACAGATTCTCCTCCAGAGCAGACAGCCCAGAGACGTGCACGTCCAGTGGAGGCCAATGTGTAGCCAGGAGGTGAACGCTCAGGCCTCCTTTTTGCCAGTTTAATCTGTGGCCAATTTGGTCGTAAAATTTCAGCGTGTAAAATCTCTGAGCTGTCTGTTAATAGTAAAGAAAACAAGCGCGTGAAGCCACAGGACAATGTACAACCCCCCGATCTGAGAAGATTAAGAAATCAGCCTTCAAATGGCTTAAAACTTACTTTTTTTTAAATGGAGCTACGATACCACGGTAAAATTTAAATGGAGCTCTTTGCTAGCGCTCCTTTTCTCAGGGTGGTTGTGATTGTCCTTGTTGGCAGCACGGATCATTTGAAAGAACAAACCAGACTGAATCAGGCAGAGGTTCACGGGGTCTTTTTATCAGACGGGACACAGATGTGACAATCTGCCCAGTGAACAAGTCAGTGGTGATTGGGGGGATGCGTGGGGGTTAAGACGTGAAAGAGGTGGATGGAAAACGTGCAGGATGTGAGAGCACCACCGAAACACCAGCATGCACAGCGTTACGGCGCGTCCAGTGAGTTCATTCTTAGACGCAAACACACGTGATCATACACACACACACACACACACACACACACACACACACACACACACACA